GCCATCCACCACATAGATACATAGATGAGTAACATTTCATTCTAATCATCAAAATTGTAAAGACACTTAAAGAAAGCAAATTGAATATACAATAATTAGCAAATACCAGTTAGGGACAAAATAGATGTGTAATATTTCACTTTTATTCCGTTTCTTCGGAGCAAATTAATTTACCTACGAAATCATATAGACACTTGAAGAAGAATACCATAGTGTGGAACGAACACCACACTATTTTCTAACACGAATCAAATATACCGTCAAAAGCCTATAGCGACACTTAAGGAAGTGAGATCCTAGAAGAGATATATGCCTTCCGCTAATACCAGACAGTGACAAAGTAGTTGAGTTGCATTTCGACTCTAACTCCACTTCGATTCTCTAACAAAATGAATGTACCGCCAAAATTGCATAGACTCTCAAAAGAAAGGAGACTCGAAACTGGATATATGCGTTCTAGTGAATACCAAATAGTGACCAAAAAAAATGAATATTATTTTATGTATTCTCTTTTCTCATACGGAATAAATTTACCGATGAAATCGTATAGACACTTTAGAGGATTTGTGGCTTTTGGCCACAATGCTTAATCAGCACATGAAATTCATTTTTTTTCCATTTTCGTAAAAATTCTCGAGGTTGTCTGCTTTGAACGGGTATCAAACACCAAGTGAACGACGTGGCTTGCTCAAAATTAAAAAGTTGCCCACTGGTTGATTACATTTGACGGCAGCACTGTTGCACTGACTTATTAAACCGCCCTCGTAAGTTAACTGCTACCAGTACTTAGGTTGCATTAGTTTAATACTTATTGGTACTTTATTCGTCTATTATTTATTTCTATTTGAGCTAGTGCACTTGAGCACTTTTACTCTTTCTTAACTCGAGGTATTTTTATAACCCCTCTTTACGCCTCGACTGGATTATTGTTTATCACTTCATCAGACTAAGCAATAATTGACCTCAGATCTGCATACCTCCCCGGGAAGCCTGTAACCATTCTAAGATTTAATAACGCGGTGTTGGTAAGTCTGTCGTAATAACTTTTTTTTTAACTTTTTTGTAAGTTTTTTTTTATTCGTAAAAAATATATTAATCTTGTGGTAGAATAGCTGACAGATAACAGTCAGGCCAGAGTCCACATTAGGAGTTTCAAGGTTCACTTCAGACGATTTGGCGCAGCTATGATGAATACGATTTGAAGTTTTTTATATTTGACTTCTCGTTATTTCGCACAAATGCAACATAGATAAACATACTTACTGCTGTCCTTTTGTCCTAGTGGAGCATTGAATCTCACGTTTCCTCTAAATCTTACTCTTTTGCATGCTTCTCTCGTGATTTAGTTCCCGAAGTACTGTGCGTCTTTAAGCTCCTGGTCCACGATTAATCACCATGTCTTAGCTGAGGTTTCAGGCTAACGGCTACCTTGTAGATTTCAGAATAGCGCGTCTTTTGTTATGCAGAATGCTGTTTAGATTAGATTAAACATGCTAGAGATGTGTTTTCAAGAAAGCGTATGCCAACTTGAAGACTCTCTGAAGAATATATTGTGCCTCATAAAAAAGGTTAATAGTTATTAAAATGTTCGATATTTGTACAGAAAGATAGTTTGGGGTTTGAAGTAAGGACTAGTTTGAGAACTGAGGTTTATTATAAAATATTATTTTGGACGTATTTTTAACCATGGTTTTTACTATAGCAGTAAATAGAAACTAGGCAGATGTTGAGATCTTCCTTATTATTCTGCCTTACTTATTATATATTTAATTTATTATTTTTTTTTTAAGTCTGTTAACGTCCTAATGTCATTATAGTTCACTGCCTTATATCGATTATCTGTGTATCTATTAAATACAATATATCAATTTGCTTCGGTCATAAATTATTTTGCTTCAATGACTTGTCTTCAACCGACTTCGTTCATAAAATTCTATTTAATATTTTTTAAATACACAGCATTTAAATCCATGGAGCTGTAATTGAAATTAACGTTAAATAATAAAAATATTATATTCACTTCAGAAATCTATCTGAACATTTAATCAGTTTTTATTGTTATTTTAACGATTTTCTGTTGTGCCGTCGCGGCTACTGCAACTTCACGTGCTGCCGCCAACTCCGTTTACAGATTTTACAGCATCTTATCGGTGACGGCCAATCTCGAATGCACTCTTAAATTTGTATTTAAATTTTTGCATTAACAATTCGAAGACATAAAATTAGTAAAATATAAAATTTTTAAAACACAATCACAAGCAATAAACAAATACTTCGGAACAAAAATCGCAACTGGCAGCGTCTGAAAGCGCATGTCAGCGGCAAATAAATAAATAATTTTTTCAAAAATTGCAGTAAAAAATAAAAATTATTAAAAAACCTCCACATTTGGCGTGTCGTTTTGCAACTCAACGCTGCTCGAATGTATGGCATTTTTATTTAATTTTTTAATTTTTTAATATTTTAATATCAGTGATTAGCGGAAAACTTGTTCGAAATGCTGTGAAAATGGTCTTTCTGGTGTTTTTGGTGACCTTTTGGAGACAACGTTCACATATGAGTTTATCATTAAATTAACAAATCGTTTTGCGTATATAACATTTAAACTATAAACTTTTAAATGCGTAAAACTAAAGGTTAATATATGTTTTACCAAAAAGGTTAAAGGCTCACATATCATAGTAATTAACTATTGAAATTATTATTTTATCGCATGCTACACACTTTTTTGTAGCGTGATATAAAAAAAGTTTAAATTGAAACTTTTTTTCATACAGGGTAAGCTATATTAGGTGATACCATGTGACAATTCTGTAACTTTGACAAAGACACTCAGAATTACTAATGACAGTACGTGTGTGAAATATCAACCTTAGGAAACATTTTGCTATTAAACAGTACACACTAGTCGAACGCGATAAGGGCCTAGGCCTAGAATTTTTGGCAAACAATCATTATAAGTGATCAGACATATTTTTTGTTAAGCAGAATCATATACAAATAAATTTGTTGGTTAAAAGAAAGCCCTCAAACTAATTATTGTTACAAAATCTCCTCTTTACAATCTGAAAATTACAGTTTCGTGCGGATTTCGTGCTGAAATGATCGTCAGACCAATACTTTTTCGAAAATGTTAGTAGCAAAGTAACAACCGTCAGTTAGGTACGTTATCGGGCTATGAAAGCCGAGTTTTTGATGACAATTGTTTATAAAAATCGTATGCAGTACTTCTAGTTTCAATAATAATTTAAAATCTTCACTTCATACAGCTCGTATCATAATCGATTTATTGAAACTATTGTTCCCAGGTTGCTTGATATCAAAAAATTATGGTTTTGATTGGCCTCTGCATTCCCTCGATTTGACACCTCCAGACATTTCCCTATGTGACTGCTGACAGTCAAAGATGAAGGCCGCCAGAAAGGCAACAATGATCGCAAATTTCAAAAATCGAGCACATAAAGTCATTCCAGCTAAGGCCATATATTCGAGCTTGCGCGATATACTCTTCAAAAAGTCTTCACCTCATATGGCCAACCCTTTATTATTCTATAAACGTTTACGATTTTGTAGTCCTGATTTTATTGACCTGTTCCAGTGACATTTGTATGTCAAATAGAAGTATCACTTCAGTCATAATTTATTAAGTTTAGGATTTACCATTTTACAATATAAATCGTTTAACAACTGCTGAACATATTAAAATCATCCAAACTAACAACTAAAATAAACAGTGGCACAAGCCACACAAAATGTCCAGCTTTGACTTTGTTTTGCGAAAAGTTCCCGGACCTATGATATCTCATTTAAATGATATCTTTCAACTACCAATATCATACCCTTTGTCACAACTAGACCCTTTTTGTGGAATTATGGAAATGACCATGTTTCTGCTTATTCTTATGCTTTTTTATTCTTATCCTTATTCTCTCTACGCATTGAGAACAACCAGCAACATTTAGTTATAGCCAAACTATTGCTAGTTATACAATAACAAATTAAAAGAATATAAAATAATATATAATATAATATAATAAAATAATAACGGTGCTGTACCTACTCTATCGACACTCTTATAAATAGTGCTTACCGGCGCTCGAAGAGTAGAATCCAGAACACTTGTTGTTGTCATTCTCCAAGATTATCCAAAACTAATATTTTTCACCTTGTCTTCAATTTAATCAATGATGTTAGTTATATCAAAATTACATTTATCTGTGTTCCCGACCAAACTTTAACTATAAGATTGACTATAAAACGTCTAACTTTCTACTCAAAATTACGAGACATATGGAATCGTAAGGATTCTCTAAGTTAATTGATAAGGATTTAACTATGCTTCTTCTTCGCCTACCTACCTATTTGCCAGCTGCGTACCAGTAAGTCATCGAATATTGCTTAAAACGGATCCAATACCGTAAGGTGTGTTGTGGGGAATATTTATATGGTGTGGTACTTCACACCTCCAAAGAAAATGTTATAAAAAACAATTTGAGACAGTTGAGAAAATTATCGACAATATGAACAACCCTGTATTTTATTATTAGTTATTTATTATAAATGTTGTTTAATTTATATGTAATTCTATTTGATTTTTTTTTTTTTTTTTTTGTTTGCAATAATTTTAAACACATTCACTTTAAGCAAGTTTATGGCTTTAAAAAATGTTCTTAAATAAATCAAAAGTATTTTTATTACTCATATGATTCGGTATCCACTGTCGTTAGGTGCCCAGTAATTGTTTGCCTTCAAATTTAGTATTCCATTCATAAATCTACCATTTTTGGAATTGACCGTTGACTTTGTCACACATGCGATTTAAAGATTTTTCAATAGAAAAAAATTGAGTTCATGCAATTTGAAGTCACGAATCGGTTTTATAATTCAATTATTTTATTTAAATTCGCGCAATCATTAAAACAAAAAATAATAATTATATAGAAACAAATCATTATATTAAATTTATATTTTTTTAATAATATATATAAATTTCTTCACAGGTGGTCGTCCACAGCCTTGGTGGTGTCGCAACAATCGCAACGGCAGTCAAAACGGACGTTCAACGCTTTCAGTAAAGCATCCTTCGGATAGTATACGTCGTCCGACAAGTAACTCGGGTGTTTGGACTTGGTTGGGTGGTAGTCGACGTTCTTCTGTGGGCCCAGATCAAATTGGACCACCATCATCATCACCAGCGGAAAATCATTACACACATATGGATGACGCTTATAGTCCCGTTGGTGTTAGCGAAGCGTTATATGCTGAATTGGATCGAGAATCGGTGCGCTCCGCAAATCCTTCATATCAAAATACGGCATACAGCCAATGTGAAGATGTGAGTATATAAAAAAAAATATTTATTTATTTTTATTATTTATTTTTTTATTGCTTTTTATAACATCACCTTGATGAAATTTCTGTTTTGTTGGTTTTCTCACAGAAGTATCATTATCAGCAACATGAACAAGACATTCCCATGGTGGTCTCATCGGCTCCGAGCAGTGCCTACTATTCGGATCTTTCAGTGACCGCTATGCCAGGCGGCGGTGGCAATGAGCGCGCCTATGAAATTGTGGGTCTCACTGTCATGTCACAGCCGTTACCCAACTGGGACAGCGGAGGTAGGGATACAGGTTCTAGTGAGACGGCGTTAGCTACTCAACGACGTATGCCACGACTGGCAGCCATAAATGAGACAAGCACGACAACTGTTCCCTCAGATTACGTTTAAATGCAAAGATGTAAATTTATGAAATTTTAAAAAATTAATTTAATTTAATTGTGAATTTAATTAAGTGCTGTAATTAATTTAATTATTAATTAAAAAAAAAAAACAAAACAAAAAATCAAGTTTCAAATGTGAATCGAACGAATTGAACGAGCTTAAATTTATTGTAGGCTTTGATGTAAATTAAAAAAAAATTATATTTTTAACTTAGTTGTATCTATTGGAGAATATAGTTTATCTGTAATAGAAATTAAGTATATAAGCAATGCTAAAATTTATTTAATGAAGCAAAAATAAAATGCAGTTAAAATGATTTATATGTAAAACATAGAAATATGATTTTTAAAAAATGATATAAAATAATTTTAAAATATATTTAAAAGAGCATATATAATAATATATATATAAAAACTTAATTAACTCTTAAGATTGTTAAGATTGTTAAGAAACGATCAAATCGTTGGTGATATTTAGCCTAAATATATATAAAATATACAATACACACATACATGTGTACAATGAACGTATGTGTGCGTGCGTGTAAATGTAGTAATATTTAAAAAAAAACAGAAACAATTCTAATATATACATATATATATCTAATATATATTTATTTATATAATTTACAAATGATACAATTAAACATTTATTTACAAGAACAAAGATTATATGTGTATGTGTCATTGTCCTTCCTCGATTTTCGTATGTACATATAAAAAGAGGAATCCCCTAATTTAAAGCAGCCTTTCTTCTTAACGATATATGTATACATTGAAATTACATTGAGTATTTATGTATAGTGCATTTAAAATAAAATATTATTTACACTGACGTATAAATTATTATATATGTATATGTATACAAATATGATATTATCTATTTAACTGATTATACTTTATATACAATATTATTTACTTATTATATACACTGCAACAATGAAGATACGTTAAATAAATAAAAAATTAATAAATTAAATTAAAGTACACAGCCAATCAACCACTCACGAAATATCACTTTAAAATAGAAATTATGCAAAGATACTTTGTTAAGATATTTTATTTTATTTTTTTTTTCAAATTTTTTAAATAATTATGAACATAAGATATATCTGCAAAAATAAAAGATTATATAAAATTAATTGAAATCAGCAAAACAGTAGATAAATTACATACATACGATAAATATACAAGCAAGTACGCCCTTAAGCATTCAAACAATAAATTATACACAATAAATAATGTTTATGTAAATTTTTTTTATTAATTATTTTTAATTAATGTGATTTTATAATTAATTAATAACTTTAATATCTGCAAAAGTATTTTTAACTAAGGTTTTCTATCAATAAAAACTTAAATCCGTTTTTTTTTATTGTCTTATAAGCTCATTTAATTAACAAAATTATATTGCGTGTATTTATTCATTAATTTAATTTTATTTGTATATATAAACTACTAATTATGTACATTTTAATTTGTCTAATTTTTTTATTGCATTTGTTTTTTTTTTATTTGATCAGCAAAATGTAGTCTTAAAGAAAATAAATAAAATTATATTATTTATCAAAAATTAAAAAAAAATTTGTTTTAATATTAGTAACTTCTTTAAAAATAATTTTTAAATTTTGAAGAAAGTCAAAAAAAAATTTTAAAAACATTATTAAAACTATTAAAAAATAAATATTAAATATAATAAAGAAACCCACAATAATCCACAAAGAAAAAAGTTTTGTGTAAACCGACTTTTTATCCGAAAAAGTTTCCAGACAGATATATCATATCATACATTTTTTTCTTCTTTAACTGAGGAATCACCTCTTGAGTTTTATATCCATAGACAAGCAAAGCCATTAAAAGTCCTTTCGGTAGAAAACAATTATAAAACACGTAATAAATAAATAAATATATAATATTTATTTTAAAATAAATATTATTTATAATTATTTATTATAATATTTATATAATATTTCAATAAAGTATTTATAATCCGTAAAAAAAATTCTTAACCCTTAATTAATTATTTATATAAACCTTATAATCATTAGAAAATTATTAACTTATTTATAATATATAACAAAATTTATTAATTATATATTAATTCAAAAAATTATTTATTATCCGTAAAAGTAACTCTTAACCAAAATTTTATCCCCTTAAATAATAATATATAAAAATTTTATAATTATTACAAAATTATTAATTTATTTATAATGAATAACAAAATTTGATAATTATATATTAATTCAATAAATTATTTATTATCCGTAAAAGTAACTCTTAACCACAATTTTATCCCCTTAAATAATAATTTATATAAACTTTATAATTATTACAACATTATTAATTTATTTATAATAAATAACAAAATGTAATAATTATATATTAATTCAACAAATTATTTAATATCCGTAAAAATAACTCTTAACCAGAATTTTATCCCCTTAAATAATAATTTATATAAATTTCATAATTATTATTGTTTTATATTATTTTTTTATAATTATTTTTTTATAATTATTTTTTTATAATTATTTTTTATAATTTTTATAATTATTGATTAAAGAAGAATCATCTTCTGTATATTATACCAGTAGTCAAGAAAAGCCCTTAAAGGTGTTTTTTTTGGTGGAGCTAATTTTTAAATACATAATATAGCATCAATATGCAATTGGTTCTATTTCTTTGACTGACGACTTACCTTCAGAATATTATAGTAGTACTCAAGAATAGCTCTTAAGTGTTCCTTCGGAACGTCGACATATTATTTAAAGATGTATAGCAATCAAAGACTGTCCTAGATGTAAAGTGAAGTGAACTCAAGAACTTTAAAGCAGCTTAAACATCCGGTAGTAGGTATATATTCCTATCAAGTATATCATCTACTTCTAAACAAGCTATAGCTTCCCTTCTAGCAATGATTTCTTTCTGATAAACACTGCAGTGTTCTGGAAGCCTGTAGTAAGAGGATATATTCAACCATTCTGAGAATACTGCACTTCCTACGCCACTCCTAGTTTTTAAACCGTCGGTAAACATGGTTAGACCCTCCTCCACGGAGGTGACCCCTTGGATCGCAAGGGATGGCCTTCTGTATATTGCACCAGTACTCAAAGGTAACCCTTAAGAGTGCTTTCGATGAACATAATTCTAAAAAGCATACTGTTATATTTTTCGTTACGTTGCTTGGACTGAAGATTCACGTTTTAACTATTTCGTAATACTCGCTGCATAAATGAAACAAAGATTAAGCAGTGAAGCAGTGATAAATGAATATAAAAACAAATTTATGATTTGTAAACCAGTTTTACTAATGTTGTTATTTAACTACTATAAATATACCACAACGATCTTTATATAGTATTTCAAAAACTTATTATTCTAACACAATTTTTTAACATAACTAAATACTAAATAGATTATAACTTATAAACTAACTTATCACTATATCTAACTACCCGTAAAAAGGTCTTCTAAAGCCCCATCATTTCTGCTTCCACAAACTTGCACCGGCAGTGCTTGTGCCATTAGCACTTCTTGTTCTGTTGTCAATATGTCACTAAGACTTTGGTCGTGTGTTATCACAGGTGGAATGCTGATTGCATCAACAGTGGCGCTTAATTCTTCAGTGAATTGCTTTTGTTGCTTTTGATGTATCTTCCGATGCGTACGCAATGCAGCTGGCTGAGTGAAGCGTCGTCCGCATTGCTCACACTCATTTGGCTTTTCGCCGGTATGCGTCATTTCATGATATTTACGCGTATCAGGTTTGGCGAAAGTGCGTTCGCAATAACGGCAAGCATAATCCTTAGCACGTTCGTGTACCGTACGTATGTGCATCTTCAAGTTGCCAGCACTGTTGCACACATGCGTACAGAAGCGACACGGCCAAGTACGTTCCAGCGTATGATAATTGATATGTATTTTCAGTTCATTGCGCGTTGTTTTCCGCATGCCACAGAAGGAGCAAACAAAGTTTTTGATTCCAGCATGTCGCATAAGGTGCACTTTCAGTTTCTCTTTGTTGGAAAAGCGACGTAAACAATTGGGTTGTTCACATGCGTAAGGCAACTGTGATTTGTCGATGTGTGTGTAACGATGGTCGTTTAGTATGGCAGACGCTTTAAAAACTTTACCACATATTTCGCAAACGTGAGACTTCAGCTCAGGGCCACGTTGATGGTGTCTTCGCATGTGCATAGCTAAAGTGGGTTTGTGTTTGTAAACTTTACTGCATCCCTCCACTTCGCAAGTAAACCAACGATTTATGCCTTCATGCTCTTTTAGGTGCTCCGATAGGCAGTACCAACGATTGAATGATTTATCACAACCTTCACGAGGACAAGGATAAGGAACTAAGCCATCATGACTACGTTTATGCGCAACCAAACGATGTTCGACGAAGAAACGTGTAGGACAAATGTCACACTGGAATATCTGCGACTTACACTGCTTGCTAGCTGCAGTTTTTGTACGTTTAATGCCGCATTTTTCATCAGTAGGGCTACACTAAAAAGAGGAAGACAAATTTATTACCTTATGCGATAGTATGAAAAAATTACTTACACAACTTTCATTGCTTTGCGTTTCACCAGCAGCTTCTTGCACAACGCTCAAGTCAATGTCCACATCACTCTCATCAAGGAACTCTGCATTACATTCATTGTCGCTAATTATTGTGGTATTACACTCAATTGGCTTTGATGACAGTTGTTTCTCCACAGTTACGTTGCCACTTTGAGCTGCTGCAGCAACATTTTGGTTTCGTTTTAATTTGGTTTGGCGCTCCTTTTTTCTCTTCGTTTGCTTAGATTTTTTACAAAGACTATCCTCTTTATTCTGACTTTCTAATAGCAAACGCGCACAGTCTGGTTCTTGAACTGTAATTTCTAATTTAGTTTGCACTTCAGTTTCAAGCACTGGTGTCTCATCATCAAATATGCTTTTGGCTACAATATCCTTAAAGTTGTGCAAGGAACCCACACACATCGTTTTAAATTCATAAAACTCAGTGATTTTTGTATAGCAGTCAGAGCAAATCACTTTCGGGTATTCATCCTCTTTTTCTACGGTTAATGACGTGCAGACGATGTAATGCTTGAGAAGATTCGGTGTCTCCAACAAATTGTATACACATGTGTCATCCATTAAATTTTGCAGGCACGCACGACAATGCTTGTTTGTGTCGTGTTCCCGCATATTTTATTTAAGAAATTAAATCAGAATTTACTAATTATTAATTATTATTTTCAATAAGAAGCAAAAATTTGTTTACATTATTGAAGAAACAAAATTGACTATGAAACACAGCTTCGCACAGTAGAGGCTAAAAATATTGCTGCAGATATTTTTTATGTGTTTAAGTGGATTCAGAACGTTGACTGTTTACCAAAACTTCAGAGAATATATGAAACATAATATTTAATGTATTGACCATTATGTATAATAAATTATTTATATAAAATTCTGTAATAAATACTTTAAATATAATTATTGATAGTTTTTGTAAGTATTCTTATTAAACAATACTTTCACTTTTACAGTAATGTCTACTACTAACAACCATTTTGCGAAAAAAATAAAAATAAAAGTGCTAATACAGTTTTCTCTTTTTTTTAGAACATTTTTTATTGAGTTTTATGATCATTTCCTGTAGCAATGGTATTCGTACTAGCGTTAAGCTAATAAAGCCTTAGATTATGTAAATCAAAGTTACTAAAGCGCAGACCTGAAGGGGGACATTTTTCCAACTCCGATATCTATAAAACCTCTAATAACATTCAATTAAATGATTTTTTATTATCCCTAACTCCCAGTTACTTTACCGAGTGTCATAATCTTATTCATGACATTCTTCATTTGGCTTAAGTTTCCATGGACTTGCTTGTTATAATGTAAATTAAAAAGAATAATATTAAACATTTCTTTTAAAATAGTTCCTAAACTTCATTACATTGAAATGAATGTATACCTTGCATTTTTATTTTATTTTCAAATTTTTTGTTCTCATGAACAACATAATTTCCTATTGTTTAATATTTTTCTACTTTTACAAATTTGGGTGATAAGATACTGGCAGTTAGAATGCGTGAAATTTTTATAAACTGTAGGTATATTATATAGCTTATCAATTACCTACGCAAACCCTTATCACATATACTGGCAATCGTATTTCATTAATTCCTATTCTCTTACGAAACTTTTACGAACCATATTTATGTCTAACCAACGCCAAAGTCTTTGTTTTGCGGAAATTGGTCATGCCCCGCTATTCATGATTTGCCATTGATATTTACCATAATAGCTAACAATATTTATGTTATATGATTTCGGATATAAACGACATAATTATGGCACAGGATTTGAACATATGAATTTCTAATACAAACATGATGTGTATAAATAAATAACTATATGTTATTTATTATATTATTTTATATATTATGCATAAAATAATATATAAATAAGTAATGTTACATTTCAAAGACTTTAACTACTTCTTCAACTCTATCGTGCACGAGCAACTCTGTTTTTATAAAATGGCAACCCTAACACTGACATTACATTGTGACAGCTGAATCAGCTGTTTTCAACCAAAACAATATTAGCAAATCAAATAATAACAAATTATTTTCATTTAATAATGGATAATTCTCTTCATTATATTGAGTTATCCAAAAATCCAATACGTTTCGATTCCGTAAATCAATTAACTAATGTTTTTTTTGATGATTCTAATAAACAGGTAACGGTAGCTTTTATTGATAAATTGCCACTTAAAGCAATATATGTTCTTGAAAGGATTAAAGTGCAAAGTCGTATCAGTACATAGATGCTAAAGATATCGTATCAGTATAAATCATTATATGTACATATAATCTTTATTGTTAATATTAAAACATATATTCCACATAGATTTTCGCTGTGCGTAGTGGAGGAGCTACTGGTGTTGTAGTCAAAGGCCCAACCGAAGATGCTGTTATATCGTTTTGTATGACTGATCGTGGTACCATACGTTTCATAAAATTTTCACCAGACAACGAAGTGCTTGCAGTACAAAGACTTGAAAATGCTGTGGAATTTATATGTTTTCAAGCCGGACAACCAATGTTACAAGAAGTCATAGTGCATCAAACTAAATCAATTATTTTTGGTTTTGTTTGGGTTCATAACCGTGACATCGTGATTATATCTAATGGAGGCATTGAGATCTTTAATATTGTAGTGGAAAAGCGGCAAATGCGTTCTGTAAAAGCATTAAGTATGTCAATCAAATGGTTTGCTTGGTGTTCAGAAGCAAATATAGCGTTAATTTGCTCCGCTGAAAATAACACATTAATGCCAGTATTGTTGAAAAAGAAAACAATAACTAAATTACCAAAATTAGACCGTAAGTGTACTGTTAGGTATGTAATATTAAATAAATAATTGATTGTATACTGCAGTTGGAAACGTTAACCGAGAAGTGGAAGTAAGTCAAGTGACACTTGCCCAAGTGTATGGCATGCTAGCTGTCTTGATATTAAATGCTAGTAGTACGAGCATGATGGAAGTGGAAGTATATTTACTAAATGGACCTGGATTAGCACCAAGAAAATGTCACATATTACGTTTGGGTTGCATTGGATGTTTTGCTATAAATACTGTCGACAATTTAATTGTAGTGCATCATCAGGCTTCCGCAACATCATTACTGTTTGATATCGCTTTAAGTGGAAATGTCATAAATGAAATTACTTACCATACACCTATTACGCCTGCTAGATCGATACATCCATTTGGTCTCAAACTTCCTAGTCTCTCATTAGAAGGAAAAATTTTGCAGTGTGAATTATGTGAGTTGGTTATTTTAATATAATAATATTATCATATAGTAATTTTTACATTAAATTATGTATTAAGTAAGAGTTCTACCATCATATTGCGTATTATCAATCTAAAACTCTCGTTTTCGCTATCTTTTCTCTGTATATATACTTTCTGACTTAATGTCATATTTTAGCTAGAAGATAGAATAAACATGTCTTCAAATTTTTAAAGTCAGATAGAGACATAAACATAAAAGATCTGTAACTTTATATACTACTTAAGTTGCACTAAAAATACCTGAGTTTAGTTAAAAGAACTTGGACAGATGAACCCTCCTATTCAATCTCAAGATCGACCTAGTCTACACTAGAGAAGAAACGAACTATGCAGCTGCTTCGATTAATACGTTTCCTGCTTAGTACTACGTATGAGATTGAATCTATCCTATAATAACTTTTGTCGGTATTGTGGATATATGGATAAGGAAGAAACTGTACTTCATCTCATGTGTCAGTGTCCATCATTTCTAACCAATCTAACAGAGCTGTCATACTGCAATATTAGAGACGTGTTAGGTTGTTTCAATTTCACTTGAATGGGAGAGTTTTTGCTGTTGTTGTAACCCGCTGGCATCTGTTTGTAAAATCCGAGTTGCCATTGGAACCTAATGGGAGAGTCGTACCTTCCAGCGTTGTTCGTACGCTAACACTGCGGTCGTTCTGGTCTGGTCTGCGTATAATTACACGTAATTAAAGTAAAGTTCCTTTAGAGGGTCGTGAACGGGACTTGTTTGTCGTGGTTGACGAGTTCCCATTGGGTTCCAATGGGAGAGTCGTACCTTTCAGCATTGTTCGTACGCTGAGCACTGTCGTCCTTTAATTAACGTTAATCTATGGTATCACAACGAGCCATTATTTGTATCAAATGAACTTTGGGAACAAGATCGCCACTTCAACCTAACATAACTTAAGTTCAACTAAGCGATAAATTGTTGGCTTTAATTAGGGATAGAATAGTTCTAACAAAATACATACTAACTACATCGGAACTGAATTATTACACTGCCATATATTACTTATAATGTGTGTCGTTACAGATTCCATAAATTGGGTGCTTTTTCAACCGAATATTGTGATTGACGCTGAACTGGGTTGTATGTGGTTTTTGAATCTCTGCCTGGATCCACTTTGTATCTTGATAACCGATCGCATCAGGTTGACAGAGTTCTTACTACAGCGCAGTAATGGTAAACAAATTTTACTTAAAGTTATTAAAGAACTTGTCGACGAAGAGTATAGTGGCACTTTACTACCAGTGCTTGAAACTATTTTCAACAAAATAAACAAAGTCTATGCGTAAGTTAATACTACAAGAAATGCAATTACATACACCTAACCATTTAATTCACACACTTTTATTTCACAGTCAGTGGGTTCATTTGGAACTACAAAGCCAAACTGCTCAACCATCAAATATTAAAGCAATACCAAAACCACCTGCACCACCAAAAGTTTTAATCGAACAAATTGATATGTATACAAATGTATTCCAACCAATCGCAGAACGTCCACAAACCGAAACTATACTCATGATTTACTTGCAATCATTGATTGCACATAACATCGCTGCACAGGAAGATATCAGTAAAATGATTATAATGGAATTGATACGCAAGCAAGACTTTGATACACTGCGACGTCTCGTCAGCTATTCGTTGCTGCAGGAATCAAAGGAAATCGGCTGTTTTCTACTTTCTCATTCCAATGTGGACAATGCAATATTTCAAGTTGCCTTGGATATGCTGTCGAAAATTAAAGCTACTGAGGTTTGTACCTGATTAGTTATTTATTAATGCTCATATTGTTGCTATAAAAATATCTTATACATTAGATTATAATAGAAGTGCTACTTGGAGAAGGTAAAGTGCTTGATGCGCTTAGAATAGCGAAACAAGCTAATCCTGGAACTACTATCTCAGCGCGAAAATATTTGGAAGCCGCGCAAAAAACCAAACAACCTACTGTCTTCTACAGCATCTTTCAGTACTTTCAAAAACGAAATACGCAAGTGCGTGGAAGTCCCGACTTCTTACCAAGTAAATAATTATATTTATTATATAATAATATTTGTATAATTTTTTTTGTGCTCTCTCTCCATAGCTGAGCAGTGTTCAGAATTTGTGCAGTATTATAACGAACAATTTGTTTCTGAGACTGCGGAAAACAGGAATACGTAGTAGTTATAGTTTGATAGCTTCGAATTGGTTAAATTAAAGTTAATGTTTTATTATATATAATTTTATTTGTATATATATACATACATAATTCTCAGAAAAAATATTAGACATAAATTATTTGATCACAAACTATAAGTTTAACAGATACGATCTATGAAACTCTATTAAATTAATATAAATAATATATATACTTTTAATAAGCTTATTTATTAAGTTACTAATAAATTTTTTATAAAGATATAAATCTACTAATGGATACTGTATTTAATATAAAAAATAAAATATAATAGAAAAATTGGAATTGTTGCTTAAAACAGAAATTGACAGGTGGTAGACTGCAGCTTTTTAATTAGTGCTTGCTTGTTGCAGTTAATTTGAAATAGAAATATCAAATATTTACATGCTAATGAAATAGTAATAAATATATATTTGCTAGCTATTGTAATTAAAGATTTTAAGAACTTTTATGTTACGTTTTTCGCACCATTTGAAGTAGTACCGCAAAATTGTATTTTGCATCGTGTAGAAAATTATATAAAATTATTTTATTTTTTGTTTTTAATGCTGATAATAACAGTGTGAATGTGGTATTGATCTAACTCTTAGCTGGTTAACTGACTATTGTTATATTAATCATGAAATAGTTTATAAAAGTTAAGTTCCTTCGCACGTTATATATTTTACTTTAACCGAAAAAATATATTTCCTATGGTGTGGAACATTTAGCAGTGTATTCTTCAAGTAAACTATAAAACTGGCTGTAAAACGGTTCAATTGGACGTGCCTCAAAATTTTTTGGGTGGCGCTTTGAGTTTCAAAACACCTATTTCATTCTTTCGCATCATATCTTCATTATTTTTTACATTTGACATATTTTGACTTGGTTTGGATAACGTTACGGGATTGCATAGCACATTTGGTTTTATTGTAATTTGACAGCGAGGGCATTTATACGGATCATCGTCAACATCATCGTTTGACACGTTGTTTAATTCATTTTTATTCGACAAAATCTTTTGTTCAAAGTCGTCTGCACATTGTTCGTGCATCGCATGACCACAAGCACCCAATATTAGAATATTAGTTTGATTATACAAACGCTGATTGCAAAATACGCAACGCATCATTGTGACCCAAAGGCCACGACATGCCTCCTTACGTCGTTTTGCGAATTTTGTATGTAAATCGTGACCAATCACTTTGAGCGCATTTCCCAGCGCTTCAGTTTCCAAACGAGAATTCATAAGCATACTCATTAGTAATATCTTAATATCGCCAAAGTTTCCGGATACATTATGTGTGTTCATGACCAATTGCACTAAATTCGTTAAATCTACAAATTGTGATGCTTGATGAAGCATCGATTTTGTTATAGATTTGAGATCTTCACGCGGTAGTACTACTTGTATCAATGTGAACCAATACTTTTCGCGTTCTTTCAAACCTAAATGTGCTGACGCTCTTTCACATAAACTGCACACATCCTGCGCTCTTGCCTCGACATCTGCACTATTGGCACAAGCGAATAATTCCATGGAAATATCGAAAGCTTGTTGATAGTTCTGTTGTTTTTCGTAAAGGTAGAGTGCTGCCATTTTGAGTTCATATCTATTTACAATATTGAGTGCAGTTTCCGTGCTGTAATTTTCCGTAGTTTCCAGAAATTCAGTAACTTGGTCTGGCTTATTTTTACATAATAATTCTAAAAGTTGTTCACATTGCTCTTGTGAAATATTTGCTCGTCTTCTATGTAAATTTTCTAAAAATATAAATAGTGATTTTTCATCATCACTTGCTACACTTAAAAGGTCACTCAGCTCATCCATAAAGTGGAAATGCACAATACGTGCTACTTCTTTGGCGTTAATGTTAAGCAAACTCTTCAAATGCGTCTTGAATTGAGTATAAATCTTACGTTCTGGCGTTTTTACATGACGTTCCATATAGACAAACATAGTTTCATGCCGCAAACTGTTATTCAGATAGCATTCCAGTATGGTGTCAAAACGTCGTAGTTTCTCTAGCAGGTACTCTTCCACATAGTAGCAGCGCGCTTTATTAGCTAAAACCAATTGCTCCTCATCATTGCTTATATTCTCTAAACAATTATTCACAAGTAGTTCATGCCAAGCAGTTTCACGCTCAGAGTGCTGTCTTGCGCTCTCATTAGCTATTTCATCTTCCGCGAGGTAATTCAGTACTTTTTGCAGCAGTTGTGTATCACATGGCAAACATTGTTGTGATATCTGTTGAGCAATAAAATTCAACAGGCAACCGATTTCAGCCCACTATAAACATACAACATTATTTTAAGTCATTAAATAACAATAATTATTCAAATAACTAAATTTACTTACAGTCGCGTTTTCTGGCGTCATGATTTCCAATAAAATATTTATAATACGTTTGCGCTGTGAAAAGCCCAATTCTCCACTGAACTCCTTCTCTTGAAATGCCAATGAAATTACGTTTAGTGTTTCACGTGTATCAAATTTAAGCAAAGCACGCAGATATGGGTATGGCAGCTCTTCCTGTTCACTATTCGCAGAGTGCAATGAGGTCAGGCAGCGTAACACGTCATGCTTAACATTTTGTACCGATTCTATGTCAATTTCGCCGCTTGGATAGCCTCTGCCCGCTAAACAACTTGATATATAGACTAACAGACAATTACCCAAATCAGGTTGTTCTGCATCAATAAGCGGTATAAGCTCGGTTAACGAAATCGTGTAATCATTCAAAGCCTTCGTGTTCAGATAGATCTGTGCGCGGTACAACTTATGCCTTTTTACAGCCTTCAGCACTTGATTCAAATCTAAGCACATCCAATCCAATTTTAAAATGATTTCTTCCAATTTAGCCGGTGACAACTGTTGCCAGTAATCAACTAAAGCCTGCGAAATTACTGGACTTATGCTGCGTATGTGTTCCTGCTCAATATGCTCCGTTATGTGTTGCAAGAACAGACTCGTGTTTTCAAGTCGCTCCCATAGCTCTGAACACAACAAATCCATTTGGCCAATCGTTATAAGACATTTTACAATTGCACCCAAACAATAATCAGGCGCTCTTGCTGATGTCGCTATGTACTCTTGAAATAGCGCAATTATACGTTCCTTTGCTTGTGCTTTGCGTTTAGGACGATCTGCTGCCGCTCGATAGCCATCCAAAGCGAGATCACAAGCTTCCTGCCAGCGCTGATTTTTCACCTGAAATAAAAAATATTACTTATCTAGAAATTACTTCAATCAAAACAAAAATTAATTTACTAGATAATTTATGCGTTCCGTCCAAGTGCGCACACCAATTAAATGTAATGAACGTGAACCTAATATATACAATTGTGTGCCTCGTGCTGAAATCGAATTGTAGCATGCATGTGTGCCCGCTAAAGCTAAAGCTGGCGACACATTACCACCCGTCGCTAAGCCTTTGAATTGTGCCGAACCATAGACCAGTCCAGCATTGGCCATATCAATACACTCCAGTTCTCTACTTGAACGTACATCGATTAAATGCAATATCTCAGACGTATCTATGCAACCAACACATTTTGGGCCCAACCAATGTGCTGATAAAAGATTCGCTTGCATTTGTACATGTCTTAAATATAAAAGTGTTATTCGTCCATTTGTCATGAATAGTTGATGAAAGAATAATTGATTGCCTCGACCGACAACAATTACCGGATCCACTGTACGTGTTGTGTCTGCTGCTTGTATTAATACCATTTGCCACGCTAGTAGTGGTAAACAATCTGCTGGCCCCTGCAGTGCATGATACTTAATGACTTTTAGCCGTGGACGTATTGTAACTATAAAATATTTGGAAAGGGTTGCTAAGGCCACTATACAGTACTGATCTAAGTCATGATGACTACTAGCATTTATTATCAAAGGTTCCACTGCACAAACTTCGCCACGTGCACCACTAAATAAACAACGAGAAGAGCAACCACGTATGCCGAGCTTACGTGTGAAACTCAATGACCATACTGAACCACCTGAATCAGCGCACACGGCAAGTGCAGATCGAGATGTCCATTTCACATGTAATACTCCTGTGTTGGGCGTTATAGCATCGTAAACGTTTCGCAAAGCATCACCGGATTGTGTATCAAACATTACCACAAGCCCGCGCGCATAGCCAGCAAGTAGTCTTGTACAATCTGGATTAAATGCAAGTGCACCAACAGCACCTTGTCCATTTTTATCTTGATGCGCCCAACGCAATGTTTGCGTGACATCAAATGTAAGTATGTGTCCATGTGAAGTACCGACAGCAATAAGCGCAGATACAGCACATGATGATGCTAAACCCGCACTAACACGATCCTATAATAATAACAAAATTATTACACAAAATTAAAAAATTTGCATTAGAGATATTTATAAACATACAGCAGCAGAAGAAATTTGTGCTGATACGCCTTGCATCATGGCATAGCGCATAATAGAACCGATACCACCAGAGCCATCTCCACGTACGCAACCATCTTCCGCTATCGAAGGTGTTGGAGTGGGTATTGGTAAACTTAGTTGTGATGCAATATCTGAGTCTGCTTCAAATTCACTCAATATAGAATCTAAAGTCGATAACGCCCCCGTTGGCGGTATTGAAAACTCGACCTCATCCAGCTATTTAATTTATTAACTCTATTAAATATTGAATGTAAAATTTAGATAAATATGTTTGTTTACATCTTCTATGTCCAATTGCAATGATTCTGCCAACAAACTATCTGCGGATCCATGGTCGGACTCCAGCAATGATTGCAACGACGGTGCTTTCAATTCATTCATTTTTACTTCGTTTAATAAAGCAAATTAAGTCTTCAAGCTGACATTAGCTTTAATTTTCTGCTGGTCTTAATATGTTTTTGCTTTTATAAAAAAACTTTTTTTGCTTATCAATTAAATTTGCACGCCCACCCTCTTAATTCACTCTACTCTGCTTATACCCTATTTATCAATGACTCCAAAAAACTTTTGTGTCGAACACAAACAGCTGTTAAACCAAAACAAATAAAAGTCTACATTTGCAATTTGTGCAACGTTTTATACGCGCAACATACGTATTTATTAATAAACATAATAAATATAAACTACATGGAATTTTATTTTAATGTCTTAATTTAGTATATGTAAAATATAAACAAATTTATAAACATCGCTTTTAAAGTAAAACATCGCTTTTTTTCCAAAGCATTACTATAGATTAGTAGATGTGTACTTTTTCCTAATATTACGTTCAAACTACAGCGTAAACTATAATATGTCTCCTTAATATCTCCTTTATGTCTTTTAAAATCACATGAATTGAATTATAGCACATTCACTCTGTCTCATTTAAGCGGTTTTGCTCATTATAACCACTAATGAGAATAATTTACGATACAAAGTGATTTTATATAAATGAGCTCAGTTCATTTATATTATATTCAGACACACATTAATTTCGAAAAAATCTTAATTTCATCTTCGTTTCAGCGAAATTAACTTGTTTTTTCCATACAAATTTCAAACGAAATACCCTTAACTTCGTTGAAATGAAGGCTGAAATTAAGGGACATTTCAAATGCAAATTATGCAAAAGATAAATTTGGAGCATATGTGAATATGCAGAAAAAACTGTAACTGTTATTAATGGTAAATTGTCTTTAATAGTGAAATATGGTATTACGTTATTACTCAGTCAAAATATCTAGATATAATCATGAGCGTTATATGTATATTTTTTCTTGAGTTTTATTAATATAAAACGTGATTACTTAGGCAGTGTGAAAGTTCGTGTAAGGTGATGTAAAGTAAATAGAAATTTTCTAGGGATTTTTTGAACTGTACTTATGTAAATATTTATTAATTTATTTATTGCACTTATTTATTATTTTTCTGTTAAAAGTTTTCAGATTTATTTATTAAGCATCTTATGAAATTTTCACAATGGTTGCAACTAATTTACCTAATTTTTTTCTGCTTTACCCTATTCGAAATTCTAGCAAATACCAACACTCGCTGCCACACCGACATAATTTACTATTTCCCTCAATTAACCATCAATTTTTTCGAACTCGCAAACGGCCTGATAGATATGATAGAGGCTATCATAAGATTCAAAAATTGAATCTTGGGTGAAAAAGTTCCCCTAGTTTTTGCAATTATTTCGCAATTATTTACATAATGAAATGATTCCGCAAAATCATCCCCGTATTACAATATTTCATAAACATCTTCATCACACTCACTAACATCTTCATACTGAAAACTGTTACATCTATATAATTGATAAATAACTCTGTCAACATTCCATTCAAAACATTTCAAATAAAGATTTTTTTATATTTAACAATCTAATCACTGTCAAATGAGTACAATACAGTATCTATTATTAACTGTCATAGCGCTGGTTGTAATTATATTTTCTACGTTACCCTTCTGGGATTGTAACGACAAAGTCGAAATGACTGAAAGTTGTATATTCTGTGATATTATTGCGGGAAAGAAACCCGAAACAAACATAGTTAAGGAAACATCAGAATTTGTTATATTTGAGGATATAAGACCTACTTCAAAATACCACTTCCTAGCTGTAACCAAACGACATATAGAAAGTGTTAAGGTATTAACTAAAAATGACATAGATATGAGTAAGTTAATGAACATAAGATTTGTACACGTAAACAAATTAATTATTATGTTATGTATGACCTTTAGTTCGAAGAATGGAAACTGGCCTAAAGCAATATTACACTAGCCGTGGTATTGACAACAATGATGCCATATTCGGTTTTCATCAGCCACCAGCTATCAGTGTTAAACACTTGCATATGCACGGCATAGCACCCAAGTCAACAATGAGTTTTATCAATCGTTTGGTTTTCAAATCAGGAACATTTTGGTTTAAAACTGTAAGTGCAAATAAATATATTTAAGTTCATCTTGTGACAATTGTTTTATTATTATTACTGTTGATTTTGTATATTATTATGTAACTAATGCCTTTTATTTGAAGTGCGATAAGATGTACTTTGTTTGGTTTGATAGCAGTTAAACTGAATATTCTACTCTTCGCCAGATATATATCAAAATTTTCCAGTAATTAATAAATTGAATTAAAATAGTATATCTTATTAAAATTTACTGGACTGCTACTAAGGTTTTGCTTCATAGTCCATTGGTTCGCAATTGAAACAAACTTTTCTAAACAGAAGTGTCTAATATTAAATGATTAATTAAATGTAATTAAAGTTAAAAGTTACTGTGCTCAATTCAATTGAAATTACTATTTTTGATATATTTTTTTTATATACTTGTATATGCGATAAGTAAATATATATATATGTACATAAAAATATGGATATTTTGAAAATTGTTATTAAATTAATACTTTATATTTATTTATTTAAATTCTTAATCTATATAAATTTTTCTTTCTTTCAGGTAGAAGAACAAATTCGTGCTATTAATGAAAAAGCTTAAAACCACTTCCAATTATTTTTCATTTAAATTTAAGGTTCAGGGATATTTAATTATGTGTAATTAGAAAATTCAACGAGATATACATATATGTAATACATATAAAGAAGCTTTATTTTAAATAAATTGACTAGAACTTTTAAAACAATCAGCATTTGTTTTATGTACTATGTTATAAACGTCAACCATTTGCACAGATGTTTTTTTTGTTACTTTGACATCAGTTGGTTCACCACCACCCACCCCTAAAGACTTTCACTTATTACTGCTCAAAGCATGTCGCGCAAACAATCACTTTCGGAAGTCATTAGCAGAAATTTTATTTATTTTTTAATTATACAAATTAGATTAATAAATGCTGGAATAAATGTAGAATTGGACGTAAACGGGAAACCGCTGCCAAAAGCGGCAACTTTTCACTTTCCGGAATATGCTTACAAGGAGACAAGTAAAAACGTAAACAAAATTATTGATTTTTCATAAGATATATTAAAATATTTATATGTGAATTTAAATTTTTATATTTTTATAAGGAAATTATATATCACGATTTAGAAGTTAAATGTGAGCAACATATTACATGCGAAAATCTAGAGGGAGTTGATAAGATAGCCTGTGTACGTCGTTGTGTTTCATACTCGTGCTATCAGGACATATATGCTTTTGATGAAGTAATGCACAATAATTAATGTAAATTAATTTAATTATTTATGTTTTCTATATAATTTTTTTTATAGTTGGAAGAAGGCGAAATTGATGTGCGCTTGAATTCATTTAAGGGTTGTGTAATCCAACGTACTGGGAATACAAACCGCAGGTAGCATAAAATGAGTTTACTTCGTAAAATAGATGGTATGGAGATACTATATGAGTTACAATGGAGAACTATGCAACTGTTTAGAAAATTTGGTTGGATTTAAATTAAATGGAGGAATTTAACTTTTCATTAATAATGGCAACACAAGTGCATAGTTAAACAATATTACTTATGAGTAAAATAATTATTATTTTTAAATTTAATTAAATTTCGTAAAAAAAATGTGTTGCCATAATTATTTTATAAATTTTCTTAAAAATGTCTAAAAGGCTTGATGTTTTTAATATAAAATTTCTCAAAAAAGTGTGCCATTTATTATTTATTTAGTTTTAATCAAATATTATTATTTTCTAGTATTTATAATTTATTTATGAATTTTTTACATTTTGTAAAAATTAATTAAGTACCTGTGATTTTATTAAATTATATTTTCGTTTATTATTTGCAAAAAAATCTGTTTTTAATACTTATACGCTTAAATTATACTTTCATTTACTTTACTGACAGAATTATTTTTTTTTTATAATTATTATTATTTTTTTATAATTATTATTATTTTTTTATAATTATCAATATAATTATTTTTTATAGTTAATTTTTATTTTTTTCTATAATTATTAATTATTATTATAATTATTAATTGTTTATTAATTATTTTATAACTATTAATGTAATTATTTTTTTATAATACTATTATATTATTATTTATATTTTTATTGTAAATATAATTATTTTTTCATAATTATAAATATTTTATTTTTTAAGTTCATCAGTACAATTATTTTATAATTACTAACATAATTATTAATACAATAATTTTTAATATGATTATTATTATTTCATAATTATTAGTGTTAATTTTTTTATAAATATTTTTTTATAATTATTAATATACATAATTATATTTTTTCAAAATGTTATGTAGTATAATGTACATATGCGTGTGATTCTATTTTATTTATACAATCCTTATTATTCTTAGTTAAACGAATTATGTTTATATTTAAATCACAGGTAATTAAAACTATATTAATATTTAATTATATTTTTAATTAATATAAAGTAAAATTTAAAAACAAAAAATACAACAATTTTAACCCTTATTATTTTATTTCATATTTTATTATTTTTATTATTAATTAATAAACAAAAAAGGACATATATTAAATATTATTCAATAAATAAGCTAAATACTTAAACAAATATTATGGCTATAAGCTTTAAAATATTATACTTTTGTCTTTTTGTTTTTTAAACGAACATTAAATTTAGTTTTAACAAAAAATTATATTGGCATATAATTACAAAGAAGTTATTAACAATACACAAACTGCTATATATTAAAAATAATAATAATGTAAACAAATTAAAAAATATTATTTATCGTAATGAGTTGTTCTTTTAATTTGATTCTGGTTTTTCATGTAGCCATGGACGAAATATTGGTAGAGTCGAAGGATAATGTGTATCCGGTTTTAAAACTGAATCAGGCCATGTATTTGAGACATCATTTCCATTATTACGAAAAGGATATGTGGCTAAGACAATTGGCAATTGTAACTTGATTTCCTTTTCCATCGATTTTGGTTCCAGAACAAAAAACACATCATAAGAAATCTTAATTAAATGACAGCCATGTAGATTTGTTGGTGGCAGTGGTGGCACATAGAGGCTATCATTTTGCCATTCATCTTTGCTACCTGGACGTATTTTTCCACGTACTAAAACTGCTAATGCACGTTTTTCCGTTTGTACCACTTTACCGCGTGCCAAGTACTCAATGGTCTGGAATTAAATTTTTGAAAAACACTTTTCTATTATCTAGTAAATCTATTGTTACCTCAGTTAGGGATGCCTTCGTGCGTTTAATTGTCACATTACTATAATTTGAAATGAATGCTGTTATAATTATACTTTCACCTGGCACATAACCGCCGCGATCCAGCGCTACTCTACACTTTACTTGACCACCACCCACACATGCTACACCTAATTTATGCTCCACTTCACAGGTGAATGGTTGCTGTAATCAAATTTATATTTAAAGATTATTTTATATATAAAAAGTATAGTATTAGAACTTACTGCCAAAATAGGTTTCTCCAAATTTAAGTCAATTGGATTCATAACTATAAAAACTTGATGATTTTTGTGTATAAGACCATTAGGTTCCCGCAGTGCTGCCTTACAATAATACTGTATCCAACCATAACGACCTAGAAATGTTGATGGCAATCCCACTGGTAAGCCAAGTTTAAATGGAAAACTATGTATACCAGGCGATAGTACTGAAGGCCCTTGATCTATATCACCCAATAAGCGTAAACGGAAGTCTATATAATTTTCTTTATCATATGTACGTTCCTGTCTTGCAGAACCACCGCGCACCACACCTTCACCAACTACATGAAAGTGTAGACCCAATGCGGCGGTATCGTCTTGTAATTCCAATAGTACTCTACCGGATAAAAATTGACCAGGAAAGTAAAGTAAAGATGTATTATCGAAGATAATAAGAAACTTTAGAAGTTTTCGTGGCATTTTGTTGACTATGTATAGTTTTGTTTAATGTAATTGCATTATTAGTTTATATAAAAAAGATTTGTCGGTCTCAATATGGCGAAATTTTTGAAATTTAATTTAATCTATGGATCATAAAAAAAATGAAGAAATATTAATTTGTTTAAATGAATAAATTTGTAAAAAAAAAATAGTCAGTGATTGCATACGTAAATGTAAAATATGATTAGAACCCACTGCAGATCCAATTAGCTACGGATGATTTAAGGTCCTTATCAATATATTTTATTAATTAGATTTATATGCTATGTACAATACTTGTAGCAGTGTTGGATGTAAGATTATCTTGAAACATGCGAGGCACTATCTGGCTACTTAGAAGTTATATTTTACATAATAATAGTAATGGAGTTCTCATAGTCTTGGCTGAGTTAAGAAGTTTAACAATACTCTTTATATATATTCATTCGAATCCTATCTGAGTTTGGGTCTGCTTGTTTTCTACCTAATTTTATCAAGCGTTGTAAAACTGAAAAATTGTATCTGACTACGATTCTAAGCTAAATAGGCTTTTTCGAACAATTCATTTTTATCTAATACATAATAACAACAAGTTATTAATAGTGTAGTTTATTGAAATAAAACCTATATTTACTATTTTGACTTTATAATGATAGTTTAGCTATAGTACCATATATTCCAAGTCTAATTTAATGAGCAACAAAAAAATAATTTGTTCTATCAAACATCAAAAATATCAGGAGATAAAATAATATATTATAATAAGATGGCAAGAAATAAAGATTAGACTTTATCTGATTTGATTAAGATGAGATCTGGTCCGTAATTTTTACTGGGAGGTTTATCACCAAAACTTAATAAACACTTGATGAATATAGCAAATAAACTTCTTAAAGTAGTACCAACGTTAACATAGACTAGAACTCGTTGAACGATGGAAAATTCAAGGAGGATCCAGGAAAATTTATGCAGACAACTAAACAGACGCCAAGAATTATATGCAGTAGTAAGTTTAAAATCTAGAGAAATGTCGAAGAGATGTCGATGGAACTCCGATTTAAGAAGAAGATAGACAGCAAAACTAATTTCGAATGTAAGGTCGTGGACAGAAAGGAATTTCAGGTAGGTTGACTATTATGTCACACAATTCCTATCTGGACATGGATATTTTCAAAAATATCTACATAGAATGCAAAAAACAGAGCAGCTCAACTGTATATATTACGAATCAGTAGAGGACAATGCTGAGCATACTTTCTTCAACTGTAAAAGATGGAATGGTCACTTCACAGTCGAGAATATCATTGAAAAAATGAAATGTGTTAAGGGAAAAAAGAAAGACCTGGTGGCTAACTAATCTAAAACGAACAACAATCTGAAGATTTTCCGATTTGGAACAAGAATGGGGACATGAACGCAAGTTCAACGAGAAGCATATGACATGGATAGACAGCAGTCTCGGCTGAAGAAATACCTACTTCATAGTAGGAGTCAGACATACCATTCCGGCGACAGTCAGTTTAACAGTGCCTAAAGCATTCCACCTCCTCCACATAAAAAAAAACAAATGCTCATGTCTATGCAAATAAGACAAATAAAATATATTGTACTGAGTATAACGCAAACAAAAAGCGAGCATACACTTGAAGAGTACAACTTAGACTAATACTTAGAGTGTAACATAACTTCTGCGGCCCAGAGCCCAGAATACCTTTGGGCTACAACATAATTGCAGCTTATGTCGGATAACTTCACTTCATCTTAACAAATGGAAAGAGAGCACTTGCAGACAGACTAAAATCATGATGCTGCCGAAACCGTTGACCAGGGAAACGCTAAAAGTACTTAACTATCCGCAGAGCACCCTAAGCTGGCAGATCTCATTAATTACTGAACAAACTTTAAGTATCACCTCAAAAAGATTACTCTTGTTGAGGAAGACACTTGCAGTCTAATCTTAGAAGAAAAAGTGATTGCGATGCATATATTGTGCCAATGTCCAGCACTGACAAACAGGAAACAACTTCAAGCCAAATGAGCTGCTTGCAATAACAAGAAATGTAGTTGCGCGAACGGAAGCCACTTTAGCTTTAACTCAATAACGACATCCGAGAATCAAAGGACGAAAAAGGACCCAAGTCGTTTCGTGGTCTACTTCGGCTAATCCTTCACTTCAGTGGAGCTACTTGCTGGACGGTGCGCTGTCCCAACGTCCAACAATATATTAAGTATAACACACATTTACATCAAGCATATACTTACAGATTAAAACACAAACGAATATCTTGCAAATGAATGAACTTCGATTGAATGATTACTCTGATAACAACATGAGTGTTAGCGCGTATCTATGAATTTCAATTGAATTGAATGAACTTAGATAAATAAGGAGATCGCTTCTAAGTTAAGTGCTGGAATTTCATTCCATTGGTTCTCATTTATCTTAATTTCTTCCTTTACTTACAAATATCTTGCAAATGAATGAACTTCGATTGAATGATTACTCTGACAACATGAGTGTTAGCGCGTATCTATGAATTTCAATTGAATTGAATGAACTTAGATAAATAAGGAGATGTCTTATAAGTTAAGTACTGAATTTTCAGTCCATTCGTTCTCATTTATCTTAATTTCGTCCTTCACTTGCAAATATCTTGAATGAACTTCGATTGAATGATTACTCCGACAACATGAGTGTTAGCGCGTATCTATGAATTTCAATTGAATTGAATGAATTTAGATAAATAAGGAGATGGCTTGTAAGTTAAGCGCTGAACTTTCAGTCCATTGATTCTCATTTATCTTAATTTCTTCCTTTAATTTTCTTTGTATTTTCTATAGCTTTAGTAACCTAATTTTAATAAAATCTCAATCAATCATTATTCCAAACCACAATAAACATACCAAAGATAAACAAATCAATTGTTCAACAATATAATACATTGCTTTAAAACATTTTGATTTTATACAAAAATTTTGAACTAAATAGTATAAATATTGGAATGTTAAGTCATACTGAAAATATTTCACAATAGGCTAAAACGTTGTGGGCACGTTAACAAGGTCAAGCGCATTAACTTCATCAGCATATCCGAGCGAAGCAGCCGGTATTCTCAGAAGACGCAAGCGTACACTTCGAATCTTTGAAGTCAGATACAAACAGAACCGGAGAGAACCGGAGAGTGAAGATCAAACTTAGAATAAAGCGAATAAATATATACACAAATATTTATATATAAATAATAAATATATATCTAAATATGTATTTATTTGTAGAGGAAAAAGCGATGTACGCACAAATCTCTGTACGAAAACACAGAATAAAGTGTTCGCTAACCAGTTTTGCCATTTTGGAATTATTAAAATTTTATTTTAATTGAAATGATACCAATTTCGTAGTATTTATTTAATAAAATAATTTAAAAAAATTTTTTTTTAATTTTAAATTCATGCATATTGTATTTTGTAGGTAGATTTTTTTCGTGTCTAAATAATAATAGACAAACGAAATGCAAACTAAAGTATCTGCGTGTGCTTAGATAGAAGGCAACTTACTTAATCATATGTGTATAGCATTTATTTATTTATGTATATTTTGTAATTATAGTTCAATGCTTTTTAATATTTTTATTTAAAAAAAAAAAAATACTCCAACCGACCATGAATAAGAAAATATTATTTTTAAATTTTTCTACGGGAGCAGAAATCGTTGTTAATTGTCGTTTTCACTTTTTAATGACTTAGACTAGCTTTCAGCTAAACGCTTTGTTAGTTCACAAGAAAGACAAAATCACTCAAAAACTAATATAAAATATTAGCACTCTCACTTTTAGGCCCAAAACAGAACTTTATTACTATTTTTTATTGTTTTGCGTATATGGTATTAAAACGAATTCAATCCACATCACACATACATCACATCCACATCGACATTCTTAAAAAGCACATAATTCCAGAAAGGTTGGAGTGAAAATGTCCGGAAACAGTTAAAAACAAAACATATTTACATAGAATACACTGCAATTAATATGTTAAACAATTGCTACTACTAATAAGACTGACTAATTTATAGAGATATCAGATTATATTGTGGGACATTGGAACACCGCACCGTCCAGTAAGTCGCCACACTAAAGTGTAGGATTAGCCGAAGTAAACCACGAAACGACTTGAATCCTTTTTCGTTCTTCAATTCTCGGATGTCGTTATTGAGTTAAAGCTAGACAGGCTTCCGTTCGCATAACTACCTTGCTTATTAATGCAAGCAGCTCATTTAACTTAAGGTTGCTTTCCAAGTCATTAACAACCCAATGATGTCCCAAGACAATCTTTCTCCTGCTTGCCAGTGTTGGACATTGGCAGAATATATGCACCGCTGTCTCCTTTTCTTCTTGGCATAGCCTGCAAGTGTCTTCCTCAGCAAGAGATATCAGATTGGTTAAAATTCACTTGAATGGGAGAGAAGGTGCCTTTCAGCGTTCTGTGTACGCTAACCACTATGATCCTTTTGGTGGTTTTGTTGCTCTACGTAAGCGGAACGATAATCCGTGACATCACAACGGTTGCAAGGCTGCCACTCTAATTTCATCCATCCTAATCGGTGACTTTTAAGAAAAAATTTCAAATCCAACCAGTTAAAAAAGCAGGTCTGACATTTGCAGATATATTGTAGCGAATACAATGTTTATACCTAAACTTATGGAATCTCTTTAGCACATTTGGGATGATTATGTACGGATTTAGTATGAAAATTGCACATATTACTGGAGATTTGTCTAGGAAAGTACAATATTCTAATATTCTAAATTCTAATATTCTAAACATAGCACATCTCATATGCTGAGATGATCATCTTAACATAAACCTCAGAACTCTTTGTTATGATTAGAAATTAAAAAAACTTTTACAGTTTAACTTTTGCAGTAATATTTCCATTAGAAAATGAGTGGAAAATAAGAAACTTTCCTAATAAATATGATATCTCAATTTTTACAAATACCTTTGAAATCAACTGTGATTTGGATTAGATAAGATTGTAGTGTCAGCCTTGTGCACCAAAGATCTCTTGAAAACAAATAATGAGTTGTTATAATACCACGTTAGTCATTTCACCCTACGGTTACTTAATGAAGCTACAGTTTATTAGGTTGAAATGATAGCAATTAGGAAGACATGTCGGTTATTTGCAAATCACATCAAGGATAGATATAAGGTTGTCATTTTCATTGACAGCCAAGTGGTAATATAAACTCATTAAATCAAAGTTAGTGAGAAAGTATAGTTGGGCTAAATTTGCTAAATATGATTCTCATCTAGATTCCCGGTCATATGAATAATTGATAGAAATAAATAAGCAGACAGTTTAATTCACGTTAACACTTATATGGATACCTCTTAGGAGTACTAGTTTCTATTCACTTAGGTGTCGTTAAGAATGGCAACGGTTTACTTTCCTCAGTTAGCTAATAATAGATGGAAGATACACATAACATATGCAATAATACAATAGATATGGCATAATGAACAGGGGCCGAATTCAAACTCCTAGGCTGATTGCAGTTCTCTAAGGCCAAAGATAAATTATTCCATAGAAACAGCGCATTCCGCTTAACATTTATTGCAGAAGTGATGAAAAACAATATTAAGAAAAGATAAAGTGACTCCCTGGCTTTGATAAACAGTCTGTCAGACTAGCTATCAGTAAGAAATAAATATCTGTTGAACTATATTCGGGATGAATCTTGTTTACCTATGGGTGTTTGTTACGGGGAATATGATAGTAAAACGGTGAATAATTGCTAATTAAGAGAAACGGAACAGCGTCTGACAAAATCTCATTAAAGAAACAAACCTTACATGTAAATACAACGGAAAGCAAATATTTTATTAACTATAAGCGTGTAAATAGATCACTTATAGACTCACTTCTAAAGCGAATAATAAACTCACAAGTAAAATAGTTAATTTCAAATAAATGTCTATTTAAAATATGATGCTAATAACAATATATTTAAAATAGAATACATTATTAATTGAAAATCTATCTTTCAGCGAAGCAGTAGTCCCATTCCTATGCATATGATAGCTATGCATGGAGGTTATTTAAATATCACGTAACTATCCATCCATTTTATTGACATCCCGACGGTTCAATATTATTTATTGTTTAAAGTAGGTTAATTTTTTAATAGCTTAATCACACTTTCAGTATTTATAAATTAATGTAGGTTTGCGTACATATATGTTTTCTCAGTCACAGGAATATAACAACCATTTGTAAGCCGATTAAGGTGGTCAGAGAGGTTATCCTAAAAATTTAAGTACATCAATTGCAACTTTTTACTTAAATCTTCTTTGTAAAGAAAATCTATAAATCTTCTTTAATAGAACAATTAAATAGATAATGGGATAGATTAAAGATATTTAGACATCTGTAAATTTCTTAATCTCTTTTAAATGCAACGCTCTATATAAATATCTTTATACTTAGACACTATCGATAGATAGAATGTTAAAGGATTACTATAAGTAAGGCAATCATGCTAGAAGGTTGAATATTTCTTTCAATAACTACTGCCGCGGCTTTAAGTCATTGCCATATGCGTAACGGAGACTTGCTTTCTAGAGTAAGTAAATAATAAATAGTTTGTAGTTTGTAGCTTATCTACTGAGTCTTTACTTATTAGAAAATAAACACAAACAATTTCTAAGTAATTATAATCCTATTTTATAGCCTATATAAATGTATCTATGCACTTAGACAATTCATTATACTTTATACCAGAGATGCTTAAAGCATATTAAAATAATCATACAGTTTATTGTTCTTAAACTTTGTGGTTCCTATTTAAAATAAAAATAATATAGTAGTCATTGGTCAAAAAAGGTTGGAAACCACTGTTCTAGAGCATCGTCGTTATATACAAAACATCTCCTTAAAAATCATATTGGAATTCAGATAAGATTCAAAATGAATAAAACCCTTTTTATTTTAATCAGCAAAGACCTCGGTAACTCTAGGATCACTCTCAAAACACAGCCTGGGTATTTTAAATTAAGAGAAAATTTATGATTTAAATTTATGAATACAATTCCACAAGATTGCATATATAACACTTTAATGATATGTATTTCTTTATATAGAACTACATTGAAATTCTAAAATACTAAAAACCAAAAACAGCGTTTCTAATCTCCAAAATTGTATATTCCAGTTTTACTTTCGTTAGATAGAATTTGATATGGCAGTGTTTTTAATAATAATAATTAACATTCAACAAATTAAAATAATAATTCAAAAATATTATAAACACACACTATCATAGATAACGATCATCTACATAACCCATTGGAGCTGATTTGAATAGCTAATATTTATTTAAACATACTTCCTTTATACTTTGTACTGCACACTCTTCACAGTGTTTACCCCACAGAAATACCTTTTTCAAATCGTATTTTTGCATAATACATGCATACAAGCTCACTTTAGTCTGACTTTAATATACCTATTAAACATTATGTGTATTGTATATTATATACCATATAAACGAATCTATGTTTAAAAAACTGCACTTTTTGTTTTGTTTTTAGCCAAGCCTTTTTTGTCTATCCTACATGGAAGTACCCATTTAAACACAGGCGATATTCACAATCACAGCTGTTTAAGCTCGTCTTTGGCCAGCGCTCACGTAATTCATAAACAACAAGTTTTGACTAGAAGTCCGTTTGTGTCAAGCTCTTATATCATATGCGCATGTTTTTAATACAACGACTGCGATCAAACGCGATTACAAGCTATCTTAGCCAACTCACAGTGGGTGCAACTCGCGCAATTGACTATGAAAACACTGAATGTCTTCGTATATTTACATACCAACCAGAGAGCTCTTTAAAAACGTACCGCACACATGCATACACCGATCATATAAAGCACAATACAATTTATGCCCCCGGAATATCTCCTCTACTTTAGACTAAAACGTCTATGTCACACTTAACCACCACTCGCGATACCAAAACAACTTAACTCACCGCCGCTCGAATCAGTACTGATCAGTGATCACTCGTACCTTCAAATGTACTAGTACTAGTAAGCCAGTATTTATTCGAGCAAGTTTTTTATTTTGGCCAGGTTTGACGTGTTGGCTTTTCTATTCTGTTGCTCTTCGCCTCTCTCTTTTTCTTCTTGATTTCTCTTCTTTTTGTTAAATTTGCTTTTTTATCTGCTGGTTTTTATTAGGTTTAATAATGCAAATACCTGAATTATAGTCGGAATTATAACTAGTTTCAACTATTTCTCTTTTCGACTACGACCTCTTAAAATGATCACCCCTACATTTCGCATATAAATAGCTTCTTCTTAAACTGCCTATCCATTGCAGGAATTTGACGGTCAGATTTATTTCACCTTAATAAAAATGTTCGTATAAGATACAAAGAAATAAAATACATGAGATATATTGCAAAAGTTAAAGTAAAAAAAGAACTATTTTATCTTGGCAATAGAATTCCAATACGCCATTTCATATTAAGTCGTTTGAATAACTGTTACCAAATTTTTCTTAGTCCAGCTCATTCACGGATCTTCTAAGTCACAACATCTATTACGTCTTATACCGCATTTTTCCTTTTATTATTCCTTGTAGTATCATTTGTAATAGGGTTTATTTACTACTAGAAGGATAGTAGCACTTAATATAAACTGTCTTACGGAGCTTTATGGTTATAAATGATTCGCGGTCTTTTTGACATCGTCTTAGCCCTTCTACATTTATTATATGATCGGCCAAGGGTGTCTTTAATAAACGATTGTAGCACCACATACCATAAGGTTCTATTTAATACATTGTTGCGACTTTAAATATAAAATAACATTTTTCTGTTTGAAATATGCACAGATTAAATCAGTATGTTCTTATTATAATGAAAGTATTATTCATTGTTTATATAACTGAAGAAATAAAAATTCAATCCATAAATATGAAGACGCCACTTCATTTATTTTTCTTTTTTTTTTGGTGAAGAGGTGGAATGCTTTATGCACCATCAAACTGATCAACTGTCGTCAGAATGGTATGCCCAACTCTCTAAAATTAATAACATTATTCTCCCTCGGAAACGCGTTCACATAACTTCGAATAGGGTCTCTTTTATGTTAGCATTTCAAACCATGCTCAGACCTCCACATTTTCACCGCATTTTCTTCGCGTCTTCACTATTTATTTATGTATCTATATGCAGGGTTGTTAGTCCACGTTTGTATTCGACTTAATTGATATTGGCTTCATTGCAATGATGTTGATATGTTCATGATACGAAGAAAGGGATCGATAAACGTATTGTAGAGTCAGGACAGGTAGATATTACTCACACAGTACTTGATTATATTCTTTTACAAGAAGCTTTTTGCCGGAATGTGGTTAATATACGCCATGCGATTTTAACCAAATGAAATCCGCATAGCCGAGTATTAACAAGATTTGATATTATTCCCTTGCATCTCGCAGCGTATACCGTAATAAGACATATCCTTTGTATATGCCTAGCAAGATTTGTTTATTCCATGAACAGCCTGCGAAAGCTTTCAATACATATCGCGGTGGCATGAGTAGAACACACCAATATACTGTTAAGAACGATAACCATGATTTTTGGTTTGGTGGTGATCCTAAATTCACCAATTTCAATGGGATGAGTCAAAGATATCAAAGTGGGTGACGAAAGATAAAAGATACGATATAAAATATGTTTTCATTACCTTGACTCTATTATATCTGTGAACAGTTTTAAGTCACACTAAGAATAACTGAATACGGGGCTTTATAATATGATGGATCTGATGCCTTTGTATCTGCCTGTGTTTACCAGAATTCGCTGTGTTTTTAGGTTGTTGAGTGTTGGATTATTGTGATTGTCAATGATATTGAACAGTTTCAGTGCACGATCTTTAATATATTTTTCGACTGAATCGATTCTCAGATCTCTATGAATATGAATAGTATTAGTAGCTAAAATAATCAATACTCATAGTGATAGTTCATAATATTATTACCTCGAAGAAACACAAATTCCTATATAACGAATTTAAATTAAAAAATGTTCATTTTAATGGATAGAGTTAATTTATTTTCGTTTTATGGAACAGTTCAATCACAATTTAACAATTAGCAAAAATTTCAGTAGACTTGTAGTTTTTCATATTATATTATATATTGTATATATTTTACAATAAAATATTTTTTATAAGCTAAATATTTCACATAAAGCAGATCGTTTATTTGTTTTTTCTGTTTTTGTTTTTGCTTGGATATTCCGTTTCGAGTTGGTTCTCTTATAAACTATTACTTTTGGTAATATCGATAAAGTGCAGCCAATACATTAAAATTCATAGTTAATTTGGTGCAAGAAAATTTTTTAAATATTTATAACTATAATATACAATTCAATTTTTATAAAATTATTCAATGTAACATTATTTTACCCCACAAAATATACTTAAATTACGAATAAAAAACTACTTCACATCTTATCAAAATCAAAAATTCAAATCCGGTGGAACTAAATTGTTAATTTATATTGTGTTTTGCTAGGGCTCATATATGCTTGGCAGTTTAGTACGGAATCAATTTAAAGAAATTTTAGCGACATTGTTAAATAATGAGAACTTATAATACATAATATTAATGTTAATGACATAAAAATGTGACATTTTATTTTTTAATTTGTAGTTCATTTCGTGTTTTGTTGGCCTAATTTTATATATATTTTATTGGATTCTAGGCAAGTTCCAAACGTTTCATTTCCTTAAAGAGTTCATTACCCATTTGTGCGGGACTTCTAGTAACAATTACACCTGCTTTCTCTAGTGCCTTAATCTTATCACCAGCACCACCTTTACCGCCTGATATAATAGCACCAGCATGACCCATTCTTCTGCCGGGCGGCGCAGAAAGACCAGCAATAAATGATACTACTGGCTTAGCTTTAATACCCTATAATTATAAATATAATTAATATTATATATAAAGGAATCAATATTTTTATTTAATAAACATACCGTATTATATTGTGTCAAATATTCAGCAGCTTTTTCTTCAGCAACACCACCAATTTCACCAATTAAAATAATACCCTTAGTTTCGGGATCCTTCAAGAAAACTTCGAGACAATCAATGAAATCAGTGCCGTTGAATGGATCACCACCGATGCCTACGCATAAAGTCTGACCAAGTCCAACTTCAGTAGTTTGGTTTACAGCTTCGTAAGTAAGAGTGCCCGATCTGGACACAACACCAATTTTTCCGCGCTTATGAATGTGACCAGGCATAATTCCTATTTTACACTATAAAAATATTAAAAATTATAAATTAAATTTTTGATTTATTTATAATTTTATTATTATTTATTATTAATTAAAATTAATTCGACTTTAATTTGTTTTTTAAACTAAATGATTGGTTTAAAAATTATATTAAAAATAAGAACAATTCTATAAAAAAATAATTTTATAAATGGAATAATGAAAATTAATAATATATAAATAAATAATAAATAATGAAAATGTAAAATTATAAACATATATAGTAATAAATTGTTGACTTGCAAAAAGTGTTAAGAACTATCAAACTATCAAAGTTTGACCCAACAATTCTCTTTATTCGTCCATACCATTCAAAAACACTAATTTAATTAATAAATTTAATTTAATATATTCTGTATTCTATATAATTCTAACATATAAGGAATAAAAATATAAATAATTTATTATATTTTACTAAAACATTAATATTTATTAAACATAATTTAAGTGACTAGGTTTAAAATAACTGTGAATGATAAAGAAACTTAAAGAAAGTATTGTAGAACTCAGTGTGACTATCCTAACCTAAACTCTAGACACAGAGTTGTGAACCACATAAATTACTGAAGGAATTTGGTTCAGTATTTCGAGCACACTCTGAATCATTGGTCCGATTCATTATTTTTTTTAACAAAACAACATATATCCTTCTCACGTCTCACAATCAATTTCAAAACATATATTGGCGTTAAATGCATTCATATTTTCTGGCTTCCAGGACGACTTTTGTCAACATTTTGTCTCTGCGGATGAGGAAGTAACTATGCTCCTCATTATAAATATATTTCATGTGTTAGCTTAGAGGAGCTTTATAATCTTTGGGACCCCATTTCTAGCTGACATAAAAAAGCTGTCATCATTTAAAGTTATGATTACAGCCAAGTTTATAGATGTGTCATGTTGTTTCCGTCTACTTGATTGTGGAATCTCGTCTTCTAAAATAGACGCAGTTCGTATACTAAAACCTTCGAACTTCTACCTAAAAGGTAATTTTTTTATATCTGGTGTACCTAAAGTATGTTATCTCTGGTATTACAATGGGTTATTATTTATGTTCAAGTGAGATTTACGGCATAAAGCTAAAGCTGTCCAACATAAATTAACTCATTTGACCAATTTGATCTTATATTTGTTATATATAAAATTGCTTTAAATCTAAAAATATTATATATTAACTCGTTTTGAGCTGTAAGCACTTGATGGTGTGAAAAGATCAAGTAACTTGAGAACGTGAACTCATCCCCACAAGAGGCGATTATTTGTTAGGCAGTTTAATGTGTCCTCTATGCAATAGAGATGCAAAATATGTAAAATTGTTAGAAAAATTATTACACCAACGCCTGTCGGATATATTGCTATATCCATGCTATATCTCGACTATATTTCAAGATATCAAAAAAATTTTTGTTTGTTTCAACTTCTGTGATCTCTAATAGACTAAATATACATTAAAACTTTATCAAAATCTTACGAGCGGATCTATGTAAAGGCAGACTTTGATAGGTTAAATGAATAAAAAAATTGTATATAAAAACTTAAGTTTTAACAAAATTTAATCGAAATAATATTTACATTTAAATTCCTTAACCTTAAACTTAATTTATATTTAAGATTCATTATCTAATAGTAAATAGATTAAGGCGGCGCCGTGACCTGTTGATAATTGAAGAGATCTCAAATTGGCACACATCCAAACATTTTGTAAATAAAGAACTTTACACTTTTTATAATGCTACAGGTAAAAAATTTATCATTTCGCTGATAATAGAAAAACGAAAGTATAATTCTAATTTTTAAAGTAATTATTTTTAATCTGGAAAAACAATTTTAATTTATAAATTTGATTACAGATGTTGCATTATGAATCATGAGAAAGAAACTGCTTTCGTCATAAATACTTTTCTTGAAGATGGCATTATTAAATGGTTTTAGTGTGGAACAAAGTTTTTATATTGATAAGTAAAGATACAGCAAAGTACAGGGCGTAATCTACTTAAACTTTGCCCCTATCAACAAATATAAGAAGCCAATTGAAATAAAATTAAACAACCTTATCAGTACAATAATTAAACAAACAATAAAATACAGTTTATGCATAATTGAATTCAAAAACAGAAATAAAAGAATAAAGCCGACTATAATAGGAAACTTACTCTTTCTGGTGCAATAATTCCGGGACAGTTTGGACCTAATAAACGTGATTTGTTTTGTGTCAATAGGGCATGTTTGACTCGGACCATATCATGTTGAGGTACACCTTCTGTTATGCAAACAATTAAAGGAATTTCAGATTCAAGTGCTTCTATAATAGCAGCTGCTGCACCTGGTGGTGGTACATAAATAACAGTAGCATGCGGATCAGTTGCTTTTTTAGCATCAGCTACCTATAATATATGAGAGTTTCAATAAAATATATCCAAACCAAATAATTTCATAGAGGAATACATAAAAACGTTCAACTTACACTGGCAAAAACCGGTAAACCCAGATGAGTTGTGCCACCTTTTTTCGGTGAAATACCACCCACTAATTTTGTTCCATACTCTAAGGCCTGCTGACTATGGAAGGTTCCCTGCTTGCCTGTAAAGCCTTGGCAAATAACACGAGAGTCTGCCGTCAACTGCAGATTGAGGCGAGTTTGGTTGTACTGTGAATTCGCACGAATGCCAGTAATGAATGCATCTAAATAAAAAAAATTGTATAAGAGAAATTAAATAAATTATTTGCTTTATAAGTACAAAAAAAACATAATATTCTTTTTTGTTTGCATCATTAAATATCGGCATAACCTTGATACCAATTCGTAGTTTGCATAAATTTTATTATTTCTTCACACCTTGGCCTTTGCATGAGTTTTCTTTCACTTCTAACTTTTCATTGAGTCACATGAATATTCTTTCAGTTTTTGTCTTTCATGGGCACACACCAATTTTTGATAAAACGAAAGGGCAACATTTTTGCTTTTATCAGAATGCATTAATTAATTAAAAATTAATTGCCGGAATAACGCATTTACTCGTTTGTCAATGAAATTTTGTCTGTTTGCCTGGCATTGCACAGATAATTTTGTTCCAAGTTATATAATTTTTCATTAAGTAAAATTTATAAATAATTTATTTTCCTCTCTCATACACACCTCGTACTTTTAACAAAACTCTTGCCGAGGAAGCCATATTCAAATAAATATGTCAGTAAATATTTTATTATAAAATATTGAATAAAAATAAATTAAAAAATGTATGATTCGAACTACTTTCGCGAACTTCGATAACCTGTCGAGCGAACAGGCAAACACCAAGTGTTGCGAGTGAACCGCACAAATTTTAATGACCGAAGCAGATGTTGGAAAATAGTAGTAGAAAAGTCTGTGTAGCAACAACAGTACAGTGGAGAATTTCAATTAATTAATAACAAATTAATTTATAATACTACAAGTACAATTGAAAAATAGACTGAAAGAGTATATGTATTACAACGTCCAGAAATCACAGATGAACATCGAAGACCTTAAAAAATGGATTAATCAAAAGTAGAATAGAAAGATTTAGTTATTAACAAATAAATTTATAATACCACTACTTTAGTTGAAAAATAGACCGAAAGAGTATATGTATTATAGCATACTTATAAATAACATTCAGGAATCAAAGATGACAATCGCAAAGATCTCGACACCTTAAAAAATGGATTTATCAAAAGTAAAATAGAAAGATTTAGTTATTAACAAATAAATTTATACTATCACTACTTTAGTTGAAAAATAGACCGAAAGAGTATATGTATTATAGCATACTTGTAAATAATATTCAGGTATCAAAGATGACAATCTCAAAGATCTCGACTCCTTGAAAATTAATTAATCAGAAGTAGAATAGAAAGATTTAATTATTAACAAATAAATTTATAATACCGCTAATTAAGTTGAAAAATAGACTGAAAGAGTATATGTATTATAACATACATGAAATAACTTTCAGAAATCAAAGATGACAATCTTAAAGATCTCGACTCCTCAAAAAATTGATTAATCAAAAGTAGAATATAAAGATTTAATTATTAACAAATATATTTATAATACCACTACTTTAGTTGAAAAATAGACTGAAAGAGTATATGTATTATAACATACCCGTAAATAACATTCAGGAATCAAAGATGACAATCTCAAAGATCTCGACACCTTAAAAATTGATTTATCAAAAGTAAAATAGAAAGATTTAATTATTAACAAATATGTTTATAATACCACTACTTTAGTTGAAAAATAGACCGAAAGAGTATATGTATTATAGCATATTTGTAAATAATATTCAGGAATCAAAGATAACAATCTCAAAGATCTCGACACCTTAAAAAATTGATTTATCAAAAGTAAAATAGAAAGATTTAGTTATTAACAAATAAACTTATAATATGACTACTTTAGTTGAAAAATAAACTGAAAACATATATATGTATTATATCAAACCTGTAAATCAGGAATCATAGATTGATATTATATTATCATCATAGGAATCATAAATAAATATCTGAAAATTCGCAATGCCTTAAAAAATTCATTAATCAAAAATAGAATAGCAAGATTAACTAATAAAGTTAAAAAATAGACTTAAAATATATAAGTATTTTATCATATACCTATAAACAATGTTCAGAAACGTACCTCTTTATCTACACAATAGAAGTACTTAATCAAAAATATTATTCGAAAATCGTAGAAGAGCATCTTCGACATCGTAATGCTTTAGAAAATAGTTAAATATATTATTTATTAACAAATAGATTTATAATATGTGTACTAAAGATATAATAGAAAAATATACTGAAAATCTATATATAATATATTATATTATAGTTTAAAATAGAAATAAATGCAATTAATCGAAAACAATGCACAAGAAACAAAGATGAAAATCTCAGACACGATCTCTGTCTTAAAAAGTGGATTTATCAAAAGGAGAATAGAAAACTAAACGTTTGTTCAATACTTTTTAATATATTCTATATTTCGACTCTCTTTGATAGTCATCATCAGGATCAGGATCTCAAATTATTAAATATTAATAAAATCTATATCCGTACGTCACGTTCGTAGTTTAGTTTCGTTGTTCATATTACATATACATATAGAAATATGGAATATATTACAAAATATTAAACAAACGTTTAATTATTAAAAAAGAAAATCTGTAGGCAGATATAAAATATATATAAAACATTATTAAAAAATCAGGCCGACAAATAAGTTTAAAATTTAATAGAATACAAAACTTTAATTATTAAAAAATAAATTTATAAACCACTAATTTAATTTATCTTACAATAGAAATAGATTCACTTAATCAAAAGCATTGTAAAGGAATTACAGATGAGTTTTGTAAGAGCCATGTTGCCTTAAAAATATGACTAATGAAAAGTAGAATAGACAATTCACTTAATCGAAAATATTATTCGAAATTACAGAAAAGCATCTCCGAGATTCAAATGATTTCAAAAATGGATTAATCAAAAGCAGAAGGAAAAATTTTAATTATTAACAAATTTATTTTAATAATACTAATATAATTAAAAAATTTACTAAAAGTTCAAATGTATTGTAGCTCTAAAACTGATCAATATATGCCTTTAATTATAAATACTATTCGAAAATCATAGATGAGAATTTCCGAGGACGAAATATTTTAAAAAGTTGATAAATCAAAACTATTCGAAATGAAATACACATATACACAAATACACAAAACTACCGCAATTGCATCTGAACCTTTTAATATAATGATGCCATAGAAAATTGATAAACCAAAAATGGAATATGAAGAATTTTAATTTCCATATAGATTTCTAATACTTAATTCCAATAGAAATTCTAATAATAAGATCTTTCCAGTTTTACAATGCACACCTAAGCTAAGTGGCCCTTAAGTGTTCAATAAGATACATTAAAGTGTCACTTAAAACAAAGTCCATTCGCCACTTAAGTGTTCATTTTAAAATGTGGCCTAATTGTATCAAATCATAACATATTTCAAAAACTTACTTCCTATACTTTATAACAGATAGATATGTTCAACAAAATATCTCCACTAAATACCGTGAGACCTTAATGAGTAAATTAATTCGAATTAATCAAAATAATATTCCGACATCACCGATGAGCATTTCCAAACTCACATCACAACTACATATTATGCTGCCTTAATAAATCAATCTTCTCATCTCCAATTCATAAAAATTATATGCCGATCTTACAGATGTAATCAAATTTTAACTTTTAAATACAATAAATCTACAACAGCACAGTATAATAATTGTTCGCTATTATAGATAACCTTTAAAATCGCTTCTTTACTTACTATGGCACCCTGAGAAATTGAGCAATGCATCTCAAAGCAATTTAAATAATATTCCGGCATCTCACATTAGCATATCGAAATCGGAACTCAACTTTTATAAACAATGATTTAAATGGTAAATCAAAAAATGGTTAATCCATCTATATATCCTATTTCTAATTTAAAATAAAGGGTCTCTAAAATGTAAGAGGCCCTTTTTTCACTGCTTCTTGCACTCTCTTCTAGTATTTCCCCGACTGCTTACGTTTAATATATGAGCAGGTCTATAGTTAATGAATATGACTAAAATTTCCTGAGAAGTAATTTATTATTTTTAATTTTATTATTACCCATTAGCAATTTTAGAAATATCAATTAAGAAGAAAGTGTATGTTCAGATCCCAAATTAATTTATTAATTAAATTTTGAAGAGTTTAAATTATTTTATTTGAACTTGCAGACATTCTTATGTCTAACTTACTTTAACAAATGGTATAGTAACGAACATCATCAGCTCTTGTCTCCTTCGACCGTACAGTTGCATAACCCCACTAGAAAAATAATCAGTACAGCCTCTCTCCACACTTCATGCATCGATTCCTTTCATTAGTTTGTAAATACATTAGCAACTCAACGCAATTAACATCAATGAGGTCCAACATAAAATAAGACTAATTTACAATCATATCGAAGCATTACCTCAACACAAGCTGGTTTCAATTACCATTCACGTACTCTCTCAACTCTCTCCTATATCTTACAAGTCTTCTTCTTTTACTCGTTTCTTCTAACATTTCTTCTAACACGTATATTCATTCATCTGATTTTCATCATCTTTCATACTATGTAAATTTTAATGGGTTAGAAGGAAATGGGTTTAGAGAATTTTTATTGCCATACTTTTTGAGATTTTCATATCTCTTTAATGTCTTTCATCCGTTTTTATTTCTATATAATAATACAGTATATATTTTGAAAGGGTTGGGAACTATGTAACCACGTTACGGTATCCTTTGAGGATTATACTAATACAGTATAGTCTCACTTCTAAAGACTTTGACGTTATATCTTTCGTTATACTGAGAGTCTAATATAGTTTCATTGGTTTTAATTTTAAAACTCCATAATAACATCCATCTCGGTCTTTAAAAATATATCATAACTTTTTATTTATATTTACTAATACAGTATAATCTCGCTTTGACATTATATATTTCATTATAGTCTAATGAGTGAGTCTAATGAAATCCATCTGCGTCTTTAATAATATACAAGGTGAGATGAAAAAACTGCAACAAAGTAAAACGCCATAATTTTTTCATTTTTTTTAAATTTTATTGAATGAAAGCAAAAAATGTCGGAAATAACATCAAATTTGAGAATCGGTTTAGATTTGTTCGAATTGGCCACCTTTGGCACGAACTATGGCCTTCAAACGGCCAATGAAACCATCACACGCTGCCCGAAAGTGGCTCTGCGGTATTTTGTCCCATTCTCGGCGAAGCGCTTGCTTGAGATGATCGACACTTTGGTATTTTTTAGTTCCAACCTTGCTTTCCAAAATACCCCAGGCACAATAGTCCAACGGATTGGCATCCGGAGATTTTGGTGGCCATTGTGCGGTGGAAATGAAGCGAGGAACCTCATTTCTTAACCATTCTTGGATGGCGCGTGCTGAGTGCGATGGTGCTGAGTCCTGTTGGAATGTCCAAGGTCTGCGGCCGAAATGTTTGCGTGCCCAGGGCTTCAGAACTCCCTCCAAAATATTTTCGCGATAGATTTGCGCATTTAATTTGACACCACGGTCGATGAATACGAGCGGCGAGCGACCATCGGCTGTTATGGCGGCCCACACCATCACCATGGCCGGCTTTTGAGTTGTGATGGCCAACCGAAGTTGCAAATTTTCAGCTGACCTCTCTGGCAAGTAAACACGATCATTTTGTTTGTTTACAAACTGCTGGATAACGAATGGTTTCTCATCGGAGAAAACCAAATTCGGCAGTTCACCACTTTCGGCCAAGCGAAACAACTCTTTAGCTTTTTCGAGTCTAACTTTTTTTTGCGCATCAGTAAGATCTTGCACTTTTTGGAACTTGAATGGCTTTAGTCCAAGCTCATTTTTCAATATTTGCCGAATGGCATATTGCGATATGTTCAGCTCACGAGCCATTTTTCGTCCACTGCGACGCGGATTTCGTTCAATTAGCTTCTTCACTTTTCGAACCATTTCTGCCGATGTTGCTGTTTTTTTTCGTCCACTTCCTTGACGTCGGGCTACGCTACCAGTATCATGGTAACGAGCGATGGTACGAGACACAAAAGATTTATTAACTTTTAAATGCTGGAGGGCTCTGACGATAGCTACTTGTGGTTTTCCAGCCAAATGCAAAGCAATCACACTATCACGCTTGAATTCCATCACAAATAACTTTTTTTCTGAAAAATAATGAGCTGTCACTAGAATAAATCTGACAGCTGTGGGACGAGCGGTTTAGAAATGACAGCAGTCTGAAGTTGGTTGCAGTTTTTTCATCTCACCTTGTATACACACATCATATATTTACCAAGTTTCAGAAAGAGTTCAAATTATCAGTAAAATTGATGTCTTGAAATTTCAAATATTCCTCTAAAAATATTAAATTCAATTTTTATTAAAATTTTGATTACTTGGAGTATACTTAATAGTTGTATCTGCATCAAAGTATACAATCTCACCTTTATAGTTAATAGAATATAAAAAATATTTTATTTTATTTGATATTATATTATCTTTTAAAATCGTTAAATATATTTATATATATATTTTATATATCGAAGAATATTTATTTAATATAATATGTATATTATATTCATATCATTTCAAATCATGTAAATCATCTTTATTACTTAGAGCAGGGATGCGATGTCCAGATCAGATGCGATCGCGAGCTAATACAAATCATTGTACAGATTGGAGGGCCGCAGAAACAAATACATACGTTCATAGTTGTTTTCCACAAAAATAAAAATAAAATAATGTAGTTTTACCAGTACACCAAGAGAATATTTTTCTTAATTGTAGTAGATTAAAACATGTCGCGGGCCGCACAAACATTAGCCGCGGGCCGTACTTTGGACAGCCCTGCTTTAGTGAATTTGTATAGAGTTCCTCACCTTTTTAAAATTAAAATAAAAAACTTTTTGTATTGGAACACAAAAGATTTTATAGTTTTAAATTGTTCATAATTATAAAAATCTTATACAAAATAATAGGTACATTTAAAATTAATTAAAATTTATTTAAGTGACTTTTTTTTAATTACTGGGTTTATCTATTTTGTTCGATAAATAGAGCAAAAACGATCTGTTCTATGTAAAATTTTTTACAAATTTATGGTTTGTACTACGAATAACATAAATTATGTTATAAAAAATAATAATAATTATAAAATTTTAAAAACTCGTTTGATATGATATTTATAATTTTGCAAAAAAAAATTTAAACACATGGACAATCTGTAGTTTAGACCAGTGGTTACCAACCCAGAAGTAAATATATTACCGGCCCGATTTTACAAGGATTGTATTTTGCAAAGACCAGTGCCAATATCTTCCCAAAATATAATAATATTAAAGGTGGAAATGCAATACTTTACGGACGGTTGGTGCATATGGAGCGGACCGGCGGTTAAGAAACCCTGGTTTAAACACAGAAAAGTAATGCTTTTCTACATATTTCATATTAAGTGATTAATTTTGAATTTATATAAAAAAAGGATATTACATTACAGCATTTAATCCTCTGCGTTTTCAACACAGATACTGTGATACTATATTCCAAAAAATTTTAATGTCATTCTGGCACCTGAGGGAAATATTTAATTGTGTTTTTCATTTATTGTGGCAGTTGTTTTAGCACAAAACCACTATAAAAGTTTTTGTTAAAATTTAATTTTGTCTAATCTATTTAAAATAATTTATTAAAAAAATATCTTAAAAGTCTATTATTTTTACTGTTTTAAAACAACCAGCAAGTCGTTCTAAAACTTAAGCACTTTCTCGGCTGTAGCAATTATCAATATGGTTTTATACTCACTGGCATAAATATGAATTATGCATTTTAAATGCATCGTGTTATTGCGTGTCTATATATTGATGATATAAAGACTCTTGTCAATTAAATTGTTTGTACTTCTACATTTGATACTTTACTTAGTTAAACATATTATCATCATCAAAATCATTGTCATTGTCATTGCCATTATCATTTGCCTCTTCAATATTGCTTGCAATGGTTTCTTTATTGGGGTTTGCTCTAAACTCGTCACGATTAAATGTATTTTCTTCGCCCGAACGCAATCGTTGATAAACTAATATATTCTTACCAGTTCTAGCCTGTACATACTGTAAAAGAGAATCAACGTTAAGCTGTTTTTCTTTAATAAGTATTGACCAGTTGTTGGGAATCAATGGGGTGGGTACGTTATCGTTTACCTCCGCATTAATAATCCGATACAATTCTTTATAATTCAGCAAAAACTCATTAACTTTGCCTGCTAACGGTTCATAGAGCACTACATGCGTAGGCATTGCAGTACGTGGATATGATGGTATATGTGAACGTAACCAATGAACAGGCGACTCATAAAATTGATCTGCTTCATCTTTGTAATTCTTTTCATCTTTCAAATTCGGCTCACAAGTCAGGAAGCGCATCGTAACATTTTGATGTATGTGACTGCAATTAATAACAATAATTCAAAACAAATATTAATAATACTTAAACTTTTATAATTATATACATATTTACCTATAAAAAGGTGTTGAGTGACAAGGCATAAGGAATAGTATATTTGCACGATGGTTATTTTCATCGCGGTAATCAGCCGCAACTTCTTGTAACTTAGACATCACTTCAATTGGTCCCTTTTGGTGTATAGTACTTAAGTACCAAGCTGGTATCGCATTTCCAAAAACAATTAAAAGTGCTATAAACCACAGCATTTTTCTGTTTAAAAAACAATTTTAGTAAAATATTATTAAAATGGTTAATAGTACTAACCTCGAAGCATTATAACTCCAACGCGTCAAAGTATCAGCAGTTATGTACAAACACAATGGCAGAAGAGAAGTAACAAATCGGAATTCCTTATGTTCGATAAAACTGAAGGCGACTAGCGAAATTGCAATAGTTAATAGCAGATTTTTCCGTACAGGATAAGTTTCACTCCGACGTACTGTTTCAATGACAGCAAACAAGAATGGTAGAGTAATGATACCCAGAACGCTAGGTAAGCCAATAGTGAAATACCAATGCCTTTAAATTGATTCAATTAAAAATCTATTTATTGCAGTTAATAATTTTTACTCACCAAGGATGTGAGCCATAGAAACTTCCAATATTATGAAATACATTATATTTAAGAAATTCATATGGAGTAATTATTAATTTTCCATGTAGATAAGTATCGACTCCAATACCTAGAGCAGCAACCAAAACTCTAATAGAAATAAATACGGAGAATTTTTAAATAGAAGATTTTTTTATAGAATAGAATAGAAGTTATAAAAAGATAGAAGAATAGATAGTTTAAATATAAGTTTTTTATTTATAAATCACTTATTGTCGTGTCTGGTTATAGTGAATACTTAATATATTGAACACCTAAATTTTTACGCTAAATATTGAGCAAAAGTTACTGAAGCTATTGAAAGTTTCGTTAAAGCAATCGCATGGGCTGAGACCAAGACTACTGATTATGCTGGTATACTAGTACTGTGATGTCTATGCAAAAAAACGGTCTAAAAGTCAATAACATATATCGTTTTCGATTGGTAAATCTGTGGTGACTTTTTTTTTATGAAATCCACTTTTTTCACTTCTAATTTATAATACTCTAAATATTTTTTCAGAGTAGCAAAATTACCCTGAAGTTAACAGCTGTTTTATATAATTTGACAAATTGAGATTTAATTCGATTTTACTCTAAATATGTTCGAATGGGTAACAAAATTAGACAGATCGAGAGTAAATCTAGATTGAATCTAGATTTGACAATCGAGAACGCCAATATATTTATTTATATTTTACTGTAAATTTATTTTAATGATCTTAATCTGTTCTAAATTCTTAATCCTAAATATATATTTTCAATTTAATTTTTTATATTTTTTTTCGCTTTATTATTTAATACATAAATTTCTATTTATTGTGTACTTCTATTTATTTATATATCTCTTTTTAGTTAGTTTTTAAATTAGTTCTAAGACAATGCAACAAAGGGGTTTTCCCTTAACTCATTTTTTAAAATGAAAAAAATAAAAAAAAAAATAAAAAAAAAATAAAAATAAAAATAAAAATAAAAAACAAAAATGAACATTTAAATACACAAATTTTTAACAAAAAAAAAACTCTTAAAACAAAAATATAAATAATATTTAAAACAAAAAAAAATATTTTTAAACAAAAAAAATGTTTTCTAAACAAAAAATAATTTTTGAAACAAAAAAATAAATAATTTTTAAAACAAAAAATGTTAAATTGATAAGTGATAACTGAACAGCGAGGATACTGCGAACACAACTTGCAATAATTGGTTTACTATATCCAGACACGACCGTATGTTTTCATCATTTTGTTTCATGGATGAGCAAACTTTTTCTTCGTATTATCATAAAATAGCACAAAATATATTTTAATAATGAAATTCTTACCCAATTACCAAAAACTTTTTAAATAACAATCCAATTAAAGATTGTTTTGTTTTGCGGAGGTGATAGATGGATAGCGGTAGCCATATAATGGCTGCAGTTGGCCTAAGATAACAACAAAGTGCTGCTGGCCATAAATATAAACTACTTTCTCCTGTCCATGGGAAATAGCTCAAAGCTATTGTGGTTAAAGATGCTTCCAAAGTGTTTGTCAAAGTGCGCGATCCAGTATAAAACCAAAACCATGGCACCACAATAAGAAACAATGCCCACTTTCTTTTACCAGTCCAAACGTAAAACCGATAGTCGGAATAGGTTGTTAGTAGCGCTTGCAAAATACGTGGTAATATTGCCTGAAATATACCAGAAGAAGAAAAGTTTATAACGTAAACTAACAATTGTACTAAAGAAAAACTTAACTCACCAATAAGTAAGCACTGTCAAGATTTAATAGTGCTAAAGCTTTATAAACACCAGCAATTAAAAGTGGGTATATATAGCTGCGTATACCTTGTACCCACTCCCATGTTATATAACCGTAACTAGAAAGATTATAGTTAGTGTTTGCTACTTCTTATTGCATATAGCAGTTAGATATTACCCAAAGGCTAGCTTATGTGCTACTTCCAAGCTTTGCCAGTATTCATCTGGCACATAAAACGTTTTTACAACAAAAACTGAAGCTAGTCGCACCGCAAGTATTAATAATAACACAAAAAATATATTCATTTTAACAATTAACTTTTTCCACACACATAAATTAGGTCACCTTCCACTTGGTAGTAAAAAACTTCCTTAATGTTTATAACAATATCAGTTTCTAAACTTGTTATCAAAACATAAACGTTTTATTGCAATGATTCCTATAATATCGCCACATTCATAACCTTAAATCCTCTTCAGAATAGAAAATTTCGTACGCTAAACCAGTCACTCACACGCGGCGGCAGCGTCACAAATTCTTTGCATTAGAAATTTTATAAAAATACATTTTTAATAACGTCTTAGTTAATTTTCTATTTTGCTCTTTTGTTTCTTTATATTATGCTATAAATAACATAACAAATATGTGAATTGGCGGGCTAAAATGAAACGCAACAAAAATAAAATCTAGCGTGTGACGTCACCTAAACAACTTATACCGAATAAAAAAAACGCAAATTAAAATGATGCCACATCTACCTAAATATGAGCATTGAAGGAAGCAAAGAAATACAATAAGATATGAAACTTTACTTAACATCATAAATAAAATATATTATACATATAACGTATTAAATTTAAGCAGTAACAATTATAAAAATATTTAGATGAATGGTTATATTTTGTGCAATATATTAACCAATCAAGATATCTCTAAAATATTTAATAGCTTCCTATTGTAACATAAAATTTACACTAACTAAATTTTACTACACAAATAATACCAAACAACACAAATATAATAAAAACGAAGCAAACGCAGTAGACGGGCATTCAGCAAGACAGCGAGCTAAGAACAGGTCGCTCTATGTTACATGTGCTGAAACACCAAGAATCGAAATTTACATCTCGATTTCTATTTTGTTTTATTTTTTTTATTTTTAATAGAAATACACATTTCTATTAAAAATCATAATTAATAACGAAATTAACATTTCGTTAATAGTAATAGAAATATAAATTTCTATTACTCATTTACTAAAACGAAATCAAATTTTCGTTAGTAAATTACGCGGTAAGGTGATAATACCACATGAGTATTAGCACCACATTTCTTCAAACCTTTTGTCAGGGGCGTCGAAATTAACATTTCTACGCCAAAATCCATTGTATAGAGAAGAAATTCACATTTCTTCAAACCTTTTGTCAGGGGCGCTGAAATTAACATTTCTACGCCAAATCCATTGTATGAAGAAGAAATTCACATTTCTTCAAACCTTTTGTCAGGGGCGTCGAAATTAACATTTCTACGCCAAAATCCATTGTATAGAGAAGAAAGTCACATTTCTTCAAACCTTTTGTCAGGGGCGCTGAAATTAACATTTCTACGCCAAATCCATTGTATAAAGAAGAAATTCACATTTCTTCAAACCTTTTATCAGGGGCGTCGAAATTAACATTTCTACGTCAAATCCATTGTATAGAGAAGAAATTCACATTTCTTCAAACCATATCACCGTACCAACGTCACCATCCACCGTATTCCACTGTTCCTATCAAATAAATCTATTGTAGGACTGAACCTTGAATCCGGCGAGTAAAACCCCGGCCAGAAAGGTTCGTTACACTATTACAAACTCTCTTTAAATTTCTATGTTGTATAGATATCAAAAAAAAACTTCCTAATTAGATTCAGTATTATTTTATTTAATAACATAGGACTATTAAACGATAACTGTGGCTACAATATTTAATCATACCTATAGTACATTCATACTCTCTTATTTAGGAGCTTGCTTATTTATATTACGCATCTGAGTAAACGGAACATCCCTGTCGAAAATTGAAATTGCTACATAGACTTTACTAGTACATTTTATTTCAAGTAAAATTTGTATTTATGTGTGAATCAATTGTTTTGGTTTAAATTTAAATTGTTGTATTGTTTCTTTGTGCGGCATTGGTGTTCTCACCAGCGACTCGTTTATGCAACTTTCACACTTCGTTTTCTGGAACGTTTTTCGTTTTCAGGAATCGTTCGAGAAAACTAAGTAAAAAAGTTACATAAACGAGCCACAAGCTTTACACAAAACTGTTCCGTGTAAAAAGCATAATTTAGCACTTTATTTGTGTTACGCTCTCAGTTTGTACTTTACTTGTGTTTTTCTTAAGTTTTACTACGAGTAGCTCGTGGAACACAGCTATTAATAAGTGCACGTTCACATTATAATAAGCTCCTTTATGCAGCTGATAGAACTTTTATAAACTTAACTTAATAATACCTATACCACACAAAAAAACTAAATACAATTCATAAAAACAAAGATTTTATTAAATATTTACTTCCTCACCATCTTTGTTTATAGCTCAGCTGTTGTTTGTTTACTTTTTACATATCCATCTTATGACACATATTTAAATTTAGTCAATGTAATATATAATAGGTCAATATATTTCAAATTTTGCTAATTTCCCTTGTAAGAAATTTATTTTTAAGCTGATTTATTGATAATGAACTCATTTATATGAAAGATTTCTGTATAACGTTAAAATAACGATAAAAAAATTTTGGTTTTATTTTTTGTTGAAACACAAATAAACTTACAATTTTTTAGTTCTCATTTTTAAATTTAAACATACTTTTAAAAAAATTATATAAAGTTGGCAACGCAACCAGCTGAACTTGACGGAAATTTAAATTTTGTGTGTCTGATGTAACCAGAGTCAGATTTACACACTTTTTATTCAATAATTTGTTGATAATAGATAGGCATATGTAATATTGATATATGGCGCATTACATATATATAAATTATCAAAACTTTTATAACAAATAGAGTTAGAAATATGTTTGCACGCCACGCTTGTAGAATTGTGTTATCAAACACAAACGTTTTGCATGGCAGCAAAAATATATTAAATGTACACGGTAAGTCTAAGTCTGTTAATATAATGTAAACATATATAAATAATTTCTTTAATTATAGGAAATGGAGCACAAATTTTAAAAAATGGTATTAGAAAAATTGAAAAAACTGCTGGAGCGGAACATTCAATAGCAAAAAAAGCATGGAATAAAATATTTGGTAAATTTCTACTAGCCACAAATATCATCGGTTCTGGAGCTCTGATGGTGGTGGGAGATGTTGCAGCGCAGCAAATTGAATTTAAACGCAGCGGGAGAGCGGTGCACAGCAGCTTTGGTTACGAGCATTTTGATTTCGAGCGGATGGGACGTATGTTTGTTGTTGGTGCGCTAATGGGTCCATTGCACCATTATGTGTACAATTGGATGGATCGTGTTATGCCTATTGCAAACTTTAGAAACACTATTCAAAAAATATTAATCGATCAGTTATTTATGTCGCCCGCATGTATTCTCATATTCTTTTATGGTGCATGCTTTTTGGAGAATAAAACGCTCAAGGAGACGAATGACGAGTTGGTGGAGAAATTTCCTATTGTATATTTAATGGATTGGATGTTGTGGCCTGGCGTGCAGTACATAAATTTTCGGTATTTAGATACAAAATACAGAGTTACATTTGTTAATGTATGTACGGCTTTATATAACATATTCATGTCCTATATCAAACACGATTTTCATCACCTTCAGTAATTCTTGCACATTGTTATTTATTTGTAAAATATTTTTTGTGATACTTTTAACTAAACGTAAGATACTTTTAATGTAGCTGCCAAATAAATATATACAACATTGATAAATAACATATCATTTATATAGAACAATTTTATTGTATATTTTTAAGAAATGTAATAATAATGTAACGAACCTTTCTGGCCGGGGTTTTGCTCGCCGGATCCCAGGTTCAGTCCTACAATAAATTTGTTTGTTAGGAACAGTGGTGAGTTTGGATGTACGGTGGACGGTGGCTTCGCTACAATCACTGAGTGTTGCTTTCGTTATATACAAAGAAAATAGCAATGTATGTTTCTATTGCTACTGTATATCCGACTATTGATTTTATAATAGAAATGTTTATTTCTATTATATTAGAAAAAAAAACAATGTGAACTGAAATGTATATTTCTATTCACCGACTATTGATTTTATAATAGAAATATTTATTTCTATTATATTTAAAAAAAAACCAATGGGAACTGAAATGTATATTTCTATTCACCGATTTGGTTTACAAGTAATTATATAATAGAAATAAACATTTCTATTATAAAATCAATAGTCGGTGAATAGAAATATACATTTCAGTTCACATTGTTTTTTTTTCTAATATAATATAGAAATAAACATTTCTATTATATAATTACTTTAAACCAAATCGGTGAATAGAAATATACATTTCAGTTCACATTGTTTTTTTTTAAATATAATAGAAATAAACATTTCTATTATATAATTACTTGTAAACCAAATCGGTGAATAGAAATATACATTTCAGTTCACATTGTTTTTTTTTTAAATATAATAGAAATAAACATTTCTATTATAAAATCAATAGTCGGTGAATAGAAATATACATTTCAGTTCACATCGTTTTTTTCTAATATAATAGAAATAAACATTTCTATTATAAAATCAATAGTCGGATATACAGTAGCAATAGAAACATACATTGCTATTTTCTTTGTATATAACGAAAGCAACACTCAGTGATTGTAGCGAAGCCACCGTCCACCGTACATCCAAACTCACCACTGTTCCTAACAAACAAATTTATTGTAGGACTGAACCTGGAATCCGGCGAGCAAAACCCCTGTCAGAAAGGTTCGTTACAATAATAAATAAAAAAACAAAACCAAATTTAATTTGTTATGAAAAAAACTTGCTAAATGTTTTTCTCACTAAAGATGCAAGTACGAGATTATTTCTAATTTATAAATAATCAAAATACTGAACAAAGCAACAAAAATCAAATCTCAATTATAATAATCCAAAATAATGTCATAAAAGTTATATTATAATAAAATATAATTGGATCAGTGTTTCTTGTACATGCATTCATAGCTTCAACTCTAGTATAAACAATAAATCTAATTATACTTTAATTCATAACTCCAATAGTATATAGAATATATCTAATTATACGTGTATTTATACCTTTAACCAGTAAACAGAATACATGCAAATCTACTCTAGCAACTCAACTTAACTGTATATATAATTTTTTTCTCACATTTATTTATAACTAAAGCCAAAGCATTACAAGTATATTTTATTGGTGATACCAAATTATCTTAAGTTATAATGTCTTACACTAAGTTTAGTTTAGCGAATAGGATTTAAAATGCACTTTGATTGTCCACTCCAAATATATTTTCTATCAACTGCGCTCTTTCTTGTGATATATAATTTAGCATTAGAGATGGTATGTTATCATTTGCTCGTGATACTTGTTGTCTAAGAAGTATTCGAATCTCATCACGTGTCCCTTTTTCTGTTCCACGTGAACGCCGATGAGAGCTGGGCTCGCTTGGCGATATTATATCTAAGGTAAAATCTTCGTAGTTAACCCAAAAATACATAAACTCTTCAATGAAATCAATCTCAACAATATAAGAAATGAACAACTTAAAGGAAAACGAACGTCTTGAAAGGATTAAATTGAATATTTGTCCTGCCATTATAGCTTCACGTGGATATTCCAATTGCAACAGCACTAACAAACTTCCAAGAATGTGATCAGGACAATTTGGTTCATATAATTTGCGCTACAAATATTTAAAGTATAATTATATTATAAATATATTTTGTTTATGTTTAGTTAAAAGTTCAAGTTTCACTTACGCTCAAACCAGTAATTATTGCCTTTACGCAATATTGGATTAAAGCATTTTTCGTAAGTGGTATAAAAATCAAATGTCTTTTTATATTCAAAGATAAATCTTCCATATCTTGTCCAGTTGTAGTTGGCAACTCAGATAGTATTGCGAGTACACACTCAAATCCTTGTAACTAAAGTTTAAAAGTAATTTTAGTAAAAAGTTTTGTTAATAATATCAAATGATTGTACTAACCGTAAGTGTGCCTTGCATCATATTCAAACTAAGTATTTGTAGATTTTGCACCAAACTATTGTTGACATTCAAATCTACCATAACTTTCTTTGCGTCATCATAATGTCCGAAATACATCGCTAAGTCGAACAAAAATCGTGATATCCATGGAGCTATCGGTAATTTCAATAACAATTCACCCAAATCACGTCTGAATTGTTCGGTATTCAGTAACTGCCAGCATTGTGCAGCATGCACAAACGCTTTCGAAATGGTTTTGCTAGCATTGGTAGTCACTGATATCTGTGGCGGTTCAAGGTTTTGAGCATCACTACGGTCGACATTCCATTCGGTGAACCCTTCAACTAGCACATGATTGATTTCTAAATCATCCAGACGTGCATGACAATGTTTTATGTAGGAATGTAAGGAGTAAATAAATAATGTTATAGCATAAAAAAGCACTTGAGGACTGCCACCTGGGCTTTTGGCAATAATATCTATTATTTTTTCCCAATATATATTGTGACCCCTATGGAAAATAAATATGTGTTATTAAGTGTTAAAAGTGATCAATTAAGATTAATTTTATTTACCAATTTTTGTTAAAAGATAAGAATGTTTCCCAACGTAAAATTTTGGCACATAAATTTAGAATTTGAAAAATTTTTTTCCAAATCTCATTAGCATCGCTCTTGTCCTCCATTATTTCGCGTATAGAATATTCTAATGATATCGTAAATACACGACATACTAGCACTGGGTTCAACTCAGGTGGGTCTTGATTGTTATAAAGCAATGGAATAACTTCATCCATTAACATTTTTTGATATATTTCTGGATTTTGTGATATTCCGTCAGTAATTAATTCTAAAAGCCTTGACTGAAGAAATTTAAAAATGTCTTTTATTTGTTTAGAATATATTAAAAAACAATAACTATACCGAATGTGTCATTATCAGTTCTGGGAATCTTGTTAATACCATTAAAAGTAATTTGCATTGACTTAAATTATTTTCAGTATTATTAACAGTCAACAAGAGTATCTTTTGTTGTACGTCAGCAGATAAGTGTTGGAACATTTTCACATAGAATTCTTGCTTTGCAGTTATTTCATTTTCAGGTGCTCTAAGTGCTGCAGTTAGTTCATTTATTTCTGTCCATATTTCCTCGTTCTTCATCTTACAAGACAGTGCTCTAACAAATAAAAATACAAAATATACAATGATAAATTCAAATTAAATTACTATTACATAAAGCTAAAACTGTTAGCAGCCGCTTGGTAATTGTTTGCTTCCATCTCAATTTTATACGACTCCAACTAATGAAATAATGGAACATCAAAAATTTCATTCATTGTTGACAAAATTCAAATTTTTTTACCTCCATGTTGAAACTATTTGGGAATCCACATTTTGCTGTAGTTAACCAAGTACGTGCAGATAAATAATCCTTACTTTCTCGCGCCTCTCTAATTTTAGATATGAAATAGTCTTCATTTAAACTATTATCCACTTCCATTTCCATCATGAATTACACCGTTGATCGGCAATAATGAAATAAAATTTTGTTTGCAAACATATGATAACAGAGTTTCAGTGCTGCCAATCAGTAATATTTTTTATGAAATGTCAAGTTGTTCTAACGATTCTCAAAACCCCAATAGGAATTGTTTTACCCTTTTCTTTTATGCTAATTGAATAGGAAACTTGTTTTAATAATACTTTTACTTTTTTAGAAAATAATTTTTATTTACGAATAATTAAATACAAGAATTATTTCCAAGACCACTGATGATGGGTATTTGCCAATACTCGAAACAGCTGTATGGTCAGCCAAAAATTCAATTAATTAAAATAATATGAAAAAATTAATTGGTGTTGTTGTAGTTCACTACTGTTCGAAAAACCTTATTTATTGCACTAATTTATTTTTTTTAATTAAGTTTTCAAATTTATTTATTTATTAAACATCTTATATGCGAACATATGCGAAATATGCGAACAAAAAAAGTCAAGTACGGCTTTGGATCAGTTGGTTAAGGTGCGCTGAGCTTCACATTTGGCAGGACCCGAGTTCGATTCCTGGTACTTGCAGTCTTAAAAATAATTATTTACGAATAATTAAATACAAGAATTATTTCCAAGACCACTGATGTTGGGTATTTGACAATACTCGGTCAGCCGTATGGTCAGCTGTATGGTGAGCCAAAAATTCAATTAATTAAAAATAATATAAAAAAATAAATTCTTGATGTTGTAATTCACTACTGTTCGAAAAACCTCTTTATTAAACATCTTATAAAATTTTCACAATGGAAACACCTAACTCACCTAATTTTTATTTAATTTACCCTACTCGAATATCTGGTAAATACTAACATTCGCTGCCATATCGACATAATTTACTATTTCTCTCAATTTACTATCAATTTACCTGAACTAGTAAATATTGTATATAAGTTCAATTATTGCTTTGAGTGTTTTTCTAAATCCATTTTATAGTAAATTAAGTTTATTATAATAATATCATCAACTTGTCTAACTCTTATTTAAACTATATAAAATTCTTATTGGTCAATTGTAAAAATTTATTCAGTTTTATTTTAAATATCAACTTTATTTGGAATAAAAAAATTATATTAACATTAAAGCAACCTGATAATATTATTTATATATAAATAAACTAATATGTTTGACTAAACTGAAGTAATATTTGATTTCCAATTTTCATAAAATATTTTATTTTATTAAATAAATAAATAGTTTTATAGTCAGTTTTATTACAAATACAAATATTCAAATAATAAGTCTCCGCAGTCTACAAAAATATCGCCATATTAATTCCATTGCACTGTAAAATTTCTGTCTATATTTCTTCCCTTTATTCTTCTTTTCATTTTGATTACCAACGCGACGCGTGTAAATTTATTGTATTATATTTTTGATAAAATTAATTTAAGTTAAAGAAAAATATTTTTCTTTTGAAAAACTAACAATTTGTTATTGTTTAGTTTGTTACAAGATTATAATTGTTCTGTGAACAAATAAAACGCATTAGGTTGTTGCATTTTTGAAATTCATTGGAAAAATGGCAGACGTTGAAAAAGAGCCAGAGAAGACTATCGCTGAGGACTTGGTTGTAACAAAATATAAATTAGCTGGAGAAATAGTCAACAGTAAGTACAATTAATATGCAATCACATATATGTGTTCAATATGTATTATGTAGTCGTTTGTGCATGGCCAAACAAAAAGCGCCACGCGGCGGTTAGCAAATATGTACACGCTACACATAACCTTAAACACGAACTTGTTTTTGCAAGTTTTTTTTTTTTTAGTTAAGATTAAGATGATGATTTAGTACGTATACATCGAAAAGTGTAAATACATAATAATTAGTAATAATATTTGTTATATTTTAAATATTCATAATTAATCACATGATGCCTTATAGTTTAAATTAAACTGACATGTCTCTCGAAATATTTTGAGTGTCTAATTAATTATCTTTTATTTTCTAGAAACTTTAAAAACCGTAGTGGGACTGTGCGTTGCCGGAGCGTCTGTCAGGGATGTATGTACGCAGGGCGACAATCTTATAATCGACGAAACTGGCAAAGTTAGTTCGAGTTTAACAATTTTGTTAATATCATATAATTTTGTTTAATAATGAATAATATAATTACTCTAGGTATACAAAAAAGAAAAGGATTTGAAAAAAGGAATTGCATTTCCAACTTGCATATCTGTAAATAATTGTATATGTCATTTTTCACCGACAAAAAATGATCCCGATCAAACCTTGAAAGATGGCGATGTTGTTAAAGTGTAAATATATACTTATTTATTTATTTTCTTTATGTGTTTTAATTGTTTAAAATTTGTAGTGATTTGGGTGCACATATTGATGGATTCATTGCTGTAGCCGCACATAGTTTAGTTGTTGGTGCCTCAAATGATACAAAAGTTACTGGACGTAAAGCTGATGTTGTGCTAGCGGCTTACTGGTCTGTACAAGCAGCGCTGAGGTTACTTAAATCGGGAAGCAGCGTAAGTGTCATATATTTATTATATATTTTGTTTCATAGCGCTAACTATTGGTGCAAGAAACGTATAGTATCCCAGGTATACTCACTGAGATACTACTCAACACTTGCATAGAAAAAATTGTAAAATACCATAAAATAATTTTTATATAATAAAATTATTTTCTGATTCTTTACAAACAATATTTAAGTAACACATTAAAAATGGTTTATCGTTTATAAAGTAAGAACTAAAATGATTCGTTTTTAACACTTTTAAAAGTGTTTATATAATAGACGTTTTGATTTATATTACAGACAACTTAGGGGGGGTGTATAACTGACTAAACATGTGATAAACTTAAAGGGTTTAATTTGTAATTAATAAGTTCAAATAAGTAGGTCAATACTTATGTTTTATTAAGTGTAGTGGTTTTTTTTATACTTTTTATAGAGTTTTCGTAGTATTACTAAAGCAAAGCTGTTTATATGCTTTCTACGAATATTTGTATTTATCACTTTTTTAGGTTTAGTACACTAGTGTAATATTAACAAATCAATTTTCTTAATTTTTCAGAAACTGGAATATATTTGAATAGCTTTTTTAAGTCTATATTATTAAGTATATAAATTATTTATTAAATTAATTTGGTAACTGTTAGTAGTACTCTACGCTTGTCTGTAAAAGTTACTTGTAATCTCACATTGCCAAGTTTTCTTAATATTCCAAAATAAATATTAAGTTATAACTTCCATTCGAAGTCTATTAATCAAGTCTTAAAAAATTGATTAGTCTTATACCAAAATCACTTTACAGTATATAAAGAATAAAGAAGACAAATGTAGAAAAAAATATATTTAAACAGTACGAACAAAGATCTGTATAAAAAAAAAAGTAAAGCACATTGCAATAATTGAATAAAATATTGTTTATCTAGTTAAGTTGAATATATATATAATATATTTATATATAATAATACTTATATATAATAATACTTATATATAATATACTTATTTATAATATACTTATATATATAATAGTTATATATAATGTACTTATTTATAATATGCTTATATATATAATACTAATAAATAATATACTTGTAGACAATATACTTATCAATATTATACTCATATACATACTTTCAGAATAATACTATCACTGAAGCTGTTCAAAAAGTAAGCGAATCCTACGAGTGTAAGCCAATTGAAGGAATGCTTAGTCATGAATTGAAACAATTCAAAATTGATGGTGAAAAAACTATAATACAAAATCCAAACGAAAGCCAGAAGAAGGAGCATGAGAAGTGTACATTCGAAACCCATGAAGTATATGCTATTGACGTAATTGTCAGTACAGGAGAAGGCATTGTAAGTGATCTTATAAAATGAGAAAATATAATGTTAATAACTGTCCCATGATTAAAAACATGCGCTTGAGGGTTTGATGTGACCATGAAGAAGGATTGGTCATTGATTCCCAAAGATTGTAAGATTATGAGATCTGAGGACATAAATCTATATACTTAATATTTATTTAAATAATATGAATATATATTAAAATATATTATTGATCATTTTAGGGACGGGAAAAAGATACTAAAGTCGCCATTTATAAGAAAACAGATGAAAATTATATGCTTAAAATGAAGGCGGCGCGTGCTCTCATAGCTGAAGTAAGTTTTTAGATATATGAAAATGTAATTATATAAATAAATGTTCTGTATTGAAGGTTAAATCAAAATATGGAAACATGCCATTCAATATACGACATTTCGATGAAGAGACTAAAGCGCGAATGGGTGTTGTAGAATGTGTTTCGCATAAAATGATTGAACCCTTCCAAGTACTCTATGAAAAACCCTGTAAGTACATATGCTACTTAGCAAATTTATTGAATTTTAAGCAAGTTTAATTCCGTGTGTTTGTACCAAATAATAAACGGCCAGACAGCTTGCGAAATAAAAAGAAGTGATTTGAAATGTGTATAAAGTGTTTTATTTTTCACTTTATTTCATATTTTAGATTACTACATTTTGAAAATAAAATTAGTAAATTTGTTAGTGCAAGTCAGATTGTTTTATGCTTAAAATGATAAGCATTTAAACTTGAAAGCTTGCAAGATAATTTTGCCAAATACTCGTGAACTAAATTATTCGATATTATAATTTAGTCTTTAATAATGCAAACATAATTTTACTTTATAGTATAAATAGTATAATAATTTTATTTTATTATAATACTTTATTTATTTACTTTAGCTGAACATGTTGCACAGTTTAAGCACACAGTCCTACTCATGCCTAATGGTGTCAACTTGGTAACCGGCATTGAATTCCCTGATAACTTTTACAAAAGCGAACACAGTATTGCCCAGGATGACCTCAAGGTATAACTTATATCTGTTATTGATTTCATTATTTAATTACTAATTAAAATTATGTTATATAGGAACTTGTTAATACGCCACTTCAACCGAGCAAAAAAGGCAGGGGTGCTGCAAAGAAAAAGGCCGCCGCTGCAGCAGAAAATGCTGATCCGGCAACAACGAAAGTGGAGACGGCGCCAACTGTAGAAACCAAAGCATAAATTTCTACAAATTTGCCTGTTGAAAGAAAATATCGCGTGAAAGCAATATTCACAACAAACAATATCAACACAGCCAACTTTGAAACAGTTTAAATTTTAAATAGTCAAGACCTAAGGGATGGATATCCCTTATCCGTTAATCTTTATTTTCTAAAAAAAATTGGTAGTTATTTTTATATATTGATGAAAATTTAAAAGTTTTTAAATGTAAATGTTTAACAGATTATTGCAAAAAAAGTAACAATCTAAAAAAAAAACCTTAATGGTTAACATAATTTTCTGTTTTTTTTTTTTGTTTTTTGAAAATAGAATTAGAAACAATTCAGAAAGAATCAATTGCTTTTTAATAACTATTTTTGGAGCATACATATATAGAACCATAATAGGTGTAATTGTCGTAATTTGCTTTTTTGTTTTTGCTTCCAATCTTAAATATCGAAGTTATCAATATATATTTTTAAGTAACAGGATTCATTAAACTGTCTTTCTATACAAGTAACCATGAACCTATTTGAGTTCTTCTAATCTTCTAGTCATCGCAATATGCTAGAACCAAAACAACTACTTTAATTATATGCTGCAGTGAATAGCTTCACAGTCAGTTAATCTCTTAATAGCATTAGTACATCTACAGTGGTTAGTACGCTTCGCCTACTTATGGCAATTTTAAGGGCATTACAGTGGGTAATAGCTGTCTCCCACTGTTAGTGTTGACGTTGACAGCAAAATTCGCTTTTTAAACCTAACCTAAACTATACGTATACCAAAATAGTGCCTTCTGCGGCACGTTTATTTGATTCAAACAGTCACTTGCTACGTCATAAACATATCTAACCCTAATATATGTTCCAACTGCATGACAACAACTTATTGACTTGACCCGCCATAAACACGAACTTAGATCGTATTAATTGATGATTTCATTCCATTAAAGTGGCAAGTTTCATTCACGTTCCTCCACTCACATCTTTTAAATATTGCAACCTGCTCTGATGTGATCAAGCATGTGATCATTTAAATTCCTACTATTCAGATCATTTCCAAAAACCAAGAAACTTCGTTCAGCAAACAGATCTAAAAATACTGATTTCAGTGCAATTTTTTTTTTATTGCTATTTAAATTCAACCACGGAGATGTGTGGATCATGTTTTTATATAACATTTTAATTATACACACTTGCATATTTAAAACTTATAACTGGTATTGTTTCATTTATTTTTATTTTAAAGATGAAGAGACTCGTCATCAAAGACTGACTGAATTAATTATAAATATTTTACTGAATATGAATTCATATTTAAAATTGATCAGAAAAACCTAGTCACTTGATTAAGGTGGGTCCCAACATTGATTGGACTTAAGTTTTGTTCATTGGGAAATCAAAGCAAATGCATGATATCACAGAGGGTAGAACTGCAGTTATGGCACTCATTGGGAATTACCTACGTGACAGGTAACTCTTTGACACCTGACCATATCCTAATCTCAATTGAGTTAGGACAATTCTTACTGAGAATTGTTGAGAACTTTGTTGAAGCACAATTGTGGTGACAAAGAGGTTACTGAATCTTTTTAAAGGGCTGTTAGTTTACGTTTATATTCGTTCTCGCTGATACTAGCTCCATTGCAATAGATATCAATATATCCATGAAATAAAGAAGGGGATCATCGGCTGTGACTTGGAGGCTCTACTAAATATTATGCTATTGGGATGTCTATCTTTGTGGCACCCAAGAAGGTATTACTTGGACAGCAAACAGTTGGTTATATTTTTTTACAAAAAGCATTTTGGAACTTGCATGAAAGTTCTTAACATGCGTTGACAACCGATCGTAATCGGGTTCCAAGAACGATCAGGTCTACATCCCGTTATTCTACAATGCTTGAATTTTGTGGAACATTTTATAAATATATAAATAACAAATACCTTGTAATTCTGACTTTGTTTGGAAGTAGAATAATTACACAGAGTAATGATTTTTATTGCAATAAAATCAACAATTAATCAAACTTTAACATCACATTAATTTATTATTTAATTATTATACAACTGTAAACATTTAATATTTTTTAGTTTCACAACAATTTTAAACTATTCAGTTGGTGGTGATTTTTTGAAATCATTAAATGTGTCCTTGGCTTTTTTTGTTAGTTGACTACCGTAGGTAGGAATCATTCCAACAAAATTCACAGTACTCTTCACACCCTCATTGTAATAATGCTTAGCCAGATAACGAACTTCACCAGTTGTGGGCAGTGAAGGAATTTCGAATGGCAAATAGCTTTGAACCTGTCGTGCATGTGGGCGTAGTTCGTCTTTTATATCGTTATACAATTGTTGTGTTTTGTCCGAATCGCTCCAAACTCCTAACGTTTTGGAATAATAAATTGCTCCAACAAGAATACCGGAACGTATAATAAGTCTATACATGGAATGTTTGTAATCATTACGTAAATAAATTAAAATCAAAATATATTATAGTTACCCAATAGCCATTTTTAATGATAGTTTATATAAAGTTAGCAGAAAGTTTAAGCTTTTATTTTTTTCCAACAGCCTGCAGAGCCAACTCCGAATATTCAGTCAAAACACTCACCAAACTTCTTCCAGTAACCAAAATATAACCAAAAGCCACTGGCAAGAATTTGTAAAAAACCAAAGACAAATTTGGGCTGCCAGACTTTTATACTAAATTTTTGTCAATGTTTTATTTTATTTTTTTTTCAAATTTTTATTGAATTAACATCTATCAACTGAAAAATTAAATTACATTAAAAATTTTTTGTAAAAATAACTGTAATAGTGATGACTGAGATTATTTTTATATGTACTGATCATGAACATTTAAACTCTACAAAGGAAATAAGCACCATAAATAGATGATACTGGATTCACACAAAAGTTTTGTGATTTTAGCTGCCATGTTTGTAATTTTAACTGTCAATTGTTGTTGCTTTCAATCTAAAGTAAAAATTTTTGACAGCTAAAATTACAATCAAAACTCATATTTATCCAGTATACTACTTAACCCCGCCATAACAATCCTCAAGTCCACTTCTGGACTCTCAGGAAGATATGCTGATTTAAGGTCCGTCATCAACTAAAAGACAAATAAATGATATGATTTTTTAGCCTAGTTAAAGCCTAGTGTGGGGTAGTGATTAACCCCCCAGTCATTATAGAGTAAAAGTGCGTAATAGCACTAACTCAAGAAGAAGAAGAAGAAGATAAGAAAATTTGATATGTTTAAGAAGAACGTGCTATTTGTAATATAATAGCATAAATAATAATAATTTATTTCTATTAAAATAAATTTTATTGGTAAAAATACAATAGTAAATTTACTACAATATACCGAATTGAAATGTAAACAAAGAAAAGTAAAAATGAAAAATTATCCGCATATGAATGCTTAAATCTAATAGACGATCAATACTATATATGTTTAGATTTACTGTTATTGGTATCCACTAGCACATATTTTTTTAAATTTCATATAAAAAGTGTCCCAATAAATGCAAGCATACTCTAATTCTATAGATTTGTATTAAAATATAATTCAAGTTCATTATTTTAGCAGAACTTGAATATGTTGTGATACGAAAGTTTTGCATAGAAACGATTGTAAATGATGGGAGGGCACAATATTAACTATATCAAGAAGTCAATATTATTGTATTATATTTATAACATTACAACAAATATATAATTTAAAATACTATTTAATTTTTAATTATACTTTATTTTTAAATTAAAAAAATATTATAACGTAATAGTTACTGAATCGGAAGTTATTCCATTGTATAAAAATGTATTATTAACAGGTTTGAATTGTTTGGTAATAATTTTAATAACCTCTTGAGCTGCACATCCACCTATAATAATAAGTGTAATATATAAGAATATAATTGTGTCATCAAATTTGATATTCATCTTTACCAATAAATGCGGATATTGAATGCACTTCAGATCCGCCATAATGACAAATTTCATGTATAATATCATCTCTTAATAATAATGGAGAACCCCAGTCACCAAGCAACTTGCTAGCAATAGATTTTAGACGCGGTACATCATTTTCAACATTACATTCTCCTGGTATGCTTCCGTATTCAGTTAAAAAACTTTCATAAGCTCGTAATGCAATATATTGCTCAGTGAATGAGTCTTGCTCTTTTAAATTATCGACTGAAAAAAGTTAGATAAATATTCAAAATAATTTAATTTTACTAATTTTCTTACCAATTGCTAAGATGCGAGTGTTCTTCTCATATTCATTCGAAATATTAGTACCACGAATAAATGCCACATTAGCAGCTTCACGACAAAATAAGCGTACAGACTTTTCATCTATTTTTTCCTCCGGTAGTCCCAAATCTTTCAGATATGTTTGACATTTACGATAAACGTTGTCAGCATCTTGTAGAGCTTGTTGTCGATATACATTTTGTAAATTTATGTATGATTCTGTATTTGCTGTCATATCAGGTAAAACTCCAGGAACAGGCAAGAAACCATTATTATCCATTATAACAAAATCCTTTAAAGCTTTTGCGATTATCCAAAAGTTATCACTCTTTTAATTAATAAAATATCAATAAAAAGATCAGTTTATTTATTAAATTGTTTACCTGTTTGTTTAAGTTTTCGCATGAATCGTCATCAAATATTTCTTTAAGATTTTTGGTAACAATTCCACCTCCAAATGCTGTATTAACAGCTTTTATTGCCTCTTCATGATTTTCCTCCTCATTAGACATTCCTATAATTTGTATGTGTAATTATTATTTAAAACATAGTTTACTTATAAATACCAGAACGAATTAATTCACGAAGCTCTGATTTTTGTTTATAATTTTTTGGAGTCTCATTATTATGCAGGGCTCTGTACTGATTTAAGTATTTGTTAAGAACTAATAACCAAGGTACCTTACTCGTTACTTCAGTGTGCTGCAATTAAAATATTTAATATTAACTTTATGTGCATTAATAATGTTTATGTGATTGCTTACTTCAATATGCTGCTTCAGTAAAGCAAATGGTTCTTCTAAGCGAAGATCAGTTTGCTGATTATCTGGATGTGCTTCTATAACACAATGCTCCTCGAATTGTAAACGAATTGAACCAAAAAATCCTAATGACCGACAATATATAAAAGGTACATTAGCCTTCCAAAGTGTATTTGATAATTCTAGTAGAATTTGTTCGCTTAAATTTGAAGCAACCACAACATCAAAGGTTTCAAAAAATGCTGGACGATTTGATAAAATATATTCTATACTCTCATCAACATAATCACCACTGACATCTGGATTAAGTTCTACAACAAGCCGCATGCAAGCCATTGCCTTCGATTTATGAAGATATGAAGAATCTAAAAAGAAACTGATTTACAAGAATAGCAAAAACGAACACCTATAATATATCGATTATATACTAACTTTACGCCTAAGTCATCCTCGGTAACTATACTTCCGTCAACAATCGTAAATCCACCAATACCAGGCAAAACAATGCCTTTTAGAGCTTCACAGCCCACCGCAGTTGCATTTACTAAACAAACTTTTGCTGACTCCAAAAGTGCTTGTCCATGATCACCCCATAATCTGAATTTCAATGCAATTGTTATTTATCCTGTTTAGCAATATGTTTACATACCTTATTTGGCGGTCATATTTTTTACTTTTATCCGATTGATCCGGTGATTTTGGCGCTGGCGACGACATTTTCCACCGCAGTACTTTTATATCTGTCACTATAGTAAACACCGGCAAGAAATCGAACTTTGGTGTAATGTTGCCATATGTCAATAGAAAACTAAAGACAAAAAATTTGTGAAGTACAAACTGGCAACGAGGCCAAAAGTATATATCCTATTTTTATATATATAGTTCTCAGGAGCGAAATGAATTTTGCATTTAACGAAACAACAAATTACATCGTACACCACCGTATAACTTGCATAACTTCGCTTATATCATAAACGTAGTAGGAAGTTGTAAACAGTAAAAAATTTTAACGGCGTGTTCATACTAATGTCAGAAAACTTGATCATTTTTGTTTTTGTAAATATGTATATAGGTACACAACTCTTTCGGGCAATAAAGAAAATTGCTTATGCATATTTATCTAGTCAAAGAAAAATATCAATTTTCATTAAACCCGTTTAAGTATCAAGCTCATTGTAATGCGTATGGGTTCTATCCCTTGATAATTAACCGCATAGTTCAGTACAGCAACCTTCAATATCTGTTCCGAGTAAAAGACGTAGAAGAAAAAATTATAGAAAAATAAATTTTTTAGTTAAAGTTCAGCACTAAAAAGCATATTTCATAGAAATTGTGAACTAATAAATTAGAAGTACATTACAGGATACATTTTTGTTGTATACGTTCAGCCATTTTAATAGTTACCTAAAATTTCTACGGTGTCCACAATGTATTGCAAAACAGATACGAATAATAACATAAACTGTGGTGTGCGTACACTACATGTTTCCTTTGATTAGACTACAAACTTAGAATTCGTTATAAAACTATATAACAAATGGATAAACGGTTGCATAAGAATTTACCTGTTAAGTTGCAGTATTAAAATAGATTTATAAAATTTTGTGGTTATTAAATGCAAGTTTTTCGTATTAATAAATAGGAAATGACAACTTTTTATAATTTTCACAATTTTTTAATTCAGGAAAGAAAAAGTTACGCTCTGCCAGACCATGTATCCAATCGGTCATTAATGATATTTTGCTCATTTGTTTCAAAATGAGTGCCATACGTTTGTATCGTTCGGTCGCATTTTATATATGTCTCCATGTCTGGCAGACGTCTTCGATGATAGATCGATCTGTGGCACTAATGTTTCAATTTTTGCGATTTTCTCACTTTTGAGAATTAGTTACTCGCAATGTTTGTCAAAAGTAAAAAAAATCTAACTGGGTTGTTAACCCTGATTATACTTATTGCATCTGGGTGTATTGTGGGTATAAATTATTTACTGTGACCAATATTATCTATTATTTGCGCTAATCGATAATAAATTTATGTAAAAATAATAATAATAAACTACTTTGTCAATTCGAAATTGAATTGAATTAAATAAATAAATTATATCATTGTAGCCTATTTTTACCGCAAATAATGTTTTTGGCTTATCTAATTATAATTAATAAAATTATTAAAAAAAAAAAAAGACATAAATAAATGCCCACCTGCTGTTGTTTACATATATTTAATCAATATGGCAGCATTAAACACAAATATTTTGGTTTTTGATGTCATTTTCCATAAAGAAATTTCGCAACAAACGAGTGAAAAGTGTTTGTGTAAAATATTTTTCGTTTAATTTTTCTAAAATTGAAAATTTGTTAAACTAATAATGCCTATTAGAAAACGGCACGGTCCACCATCCGTTGCTAGTACAAATTCTGATGATCCAGATGATGCTGCTTACAAATTGAAAAGACAACGAAATAATAATGTAAGATAACGATTATATACATTAATTTATTTATAAACTTTTATTTACATGTTCAAGAATAAATACAAAATAAAACTTTAGCACATATTAGTTGTTTTTTGTTAAATGCAAACAAATACAACAAATTGTGTGCATAAAGGAATTAGTGTTTACTTGGAATCAAATTTTTATTACAGGCAGTAAAGAAAACTCGAGCAAAATCTAAAGAAACTGCAAATGAGCGTAAAAAAAATGTGGATACTCTGAAAACGGAAAATTTAAAATTGGAAACAAAGATTGAAGAAGCTAAGAAGAATGTTAAAATGTTGAAAGATTTACTACTTAACAACGCACAAAATAGTGATCAGGACAAAATGATTAAAAAGATTCTTGAAGAAGTAAGTGACGATGATGATGATAATGCGACCAGTTATTGATGTGTTGGTTGCGGATGGAAACAAAACTTAGCTTAAGGTTATAAAATAAGAATTTTTAAAATTAAGAACAACTGTAGATAATTAAGCAATATAATTGGTCAGCATTTATAATTGGTCAATATTAATTTAAAACTGTGTTTTGTTTGAAATGCAATCGTTCATAACTAGGTGAAATTAAAATTAATTACGGCACTATCCAGTCAGTTGCATAGATATCTGTTGTGAAAATTATAGTCTAAAACTGTTACAAAAAATTTAAATTAAATTAAGTATGCCACTGACATAGCAAGTTACATAGAAAACTGATTTGGAAGTCGGAAATGTATATAACTGTTACTATTATTATGATTTACACTATTATAACATAAATACGCAATGAGTTTTTAAAATTATTTGTGTTTTTTTTCTTTCATAGTCAGTTATTTTAATTATAGTGCAAACTCTAAAAATTAATTAATTAAATTTAAAAATTATATACAAAAAGCTCTACAGTTATCCATTTGATGATGTTTGTAACATAAAATTTTAAAGTACATACATTTAAGATCAAAGGAGGTGGCTAAATATGTGTTTCATACTTTTCAAATATTAACTTTAAATAAAATACTTAGGTTTCTTATAGTTTCTACCTATAAGAAACTCAAGAAAAGCATAGCTTAATACATGTAATCAACACAAAATTAAAAATAAAAATTAATTTTTCTATATGTATTTCTTTTTATTTAATTTTAATATATTTTACATAATTATTAATTATTTTCTTATTAATATTTATTTTTATTTAACAATAAGGCAAATATATAACCCATAGATGAATATTTTTAAACATTTTATGATAGAAAGTATAATAAAAGTATAATGTATTTCAGTCTTTGGAATCAAAACAAGCTATATGCATTTTTTAAAATGGTTTGCTTTTGAGCTATTATTATGTATCACAAACATTTTTAATAATATTGCTATTATATAATTGCTTAACTTTTTATAATAGATTTAATGGATATGTTTCGAATAAAATACTACAACTAAATTCTAAATATTGAACTCGTATAAAAATTTAAAGAATTAACAGCACAATTATTGATAAAATCGTTGCAGCTGCAATGACTAATGTGGCATCGAAATCAACGTCCATTCATTCCAGCAATATGAAAAGAAAAAAAATAAATGCAATACATTTAGATGTGTAAAGAATATTTGGCTCAGTTAATTACTTAGTTTTTATGTGTAATTATATTCTCATATTGTAATAAGACACTTATATTCTTACCATCAAAAACATCAATTTTTAAATCATAATCATGAAACACTTCATCCATTTTTGTTGTCCAAAGTGAACAATTTGCAGGATAAACGAGGTATACAAAATTGAGTTAATCTTTTGGTAAGTGCGAGGTTGTTATTGCAGTAGTAACTTAAGCTGTCATATGACTCCTACTTTAAATTATGTAACAATTTTTGTCTAATTATTAAATACATTTCAAGCATATTTATTTTAAATTACATATACTATAATATCCCTCATTTTAAAACAAAATAATTCAGTTTAATAATAAAACCATTTTATATTTTCTTCGTTGTGTAATAACTATTAATTATGTAAATATAACGATAAAAAATATCTTTAATATTAACAATAAGAATTTATTATTGTTTAAATTTGAACACAACACCTAAATATTCCATTAACGCGAAACACAAAATGTGAAAATAAAATTAATGGTTGATTCATTTGGCGGATATCCCAGATAAAAACATTTTTTTTTTACTCTTGCGACTGTCTGTTAGCTTTTTGTATGTCAATCGAAAATAAAATCAAAAAGTACACTAAAAAAATTATTTATATTTTTTTTAAAAACTAATTATTTAGTTTTATTTCATTTATACATTAATTTATATAGCGAAATTTAAACTTTAAATACATTTATATATAATGTAATATTATTTTTTTTTTTGCTACTCGGTAATTGCAGTGCACAGTGTAAACACTTCTTCTTTTAAATTATGCAAATATTGTTCGTTGAAGACGTTTATTGTTAAATGCAATGATGATATTACATATGACGAATGACGCTAACAATACTTTGAAGAATTAATATTAAAAGAATTAATCTTTATAAGTTTTACAGTTAATTTAAAATATTATGCAGTTCAAGTTTCAAATTTTTGCATTTTACTTATTATTAACAAAACAATTAAGAAAGAAAAAATTATAATTGAAAAGTAAAATAAATGCATACATAAGAAGTGTATAACTATATAATGCATGCATAAGAAGTGTATAATATAAAATGATCATTTGTAACTAGTCCATTACGGACTAGGTTAAAGCTAGTCTGGAAGCGTCATCAAAAGAAACAATTTCAAATATTTGATCAATGCGCTGCTCTCTTTGTATCCTTATTTCACTATATTTTTCTTCGTTGTCATGGATAAAGCCTATAAAATACATATTTTTATATAAATTCAAATACAATATAAAATGCCCACCAATAACTTTGTTGTGTCATTCATTTTATATTTCTTTATATAAAAAAAATTTTCTTATAAAATTATCGGTAGGTATTTTTTTATTTACATGTACATATATATCATCACAAATTTACTTATAATTTGTTTACTTGTCATATTTTTACTGATTAAGACAGTGATACCAAGTTATTCTTAAGCAACCAGAAGTTGTTCTATTGCAGTATTCATGTTGAAAGAATACACGTATATTCAAATTATCGTCGGAATTTCACAAAAATATATATAACATAAAATTTTACGATATTATTGTGTTGAGACCTTACGGAATATTCCTGGTAAATAATAAATTAAAATTAAATTTTTATTCAACATTATTTTTAGTATAAACAAGACTGAAACAAGTTTTATTAATATATTTTACTTAGAGGTATAAATAATTATTTTTAATAGTTTCTCTGCTTTTCTAACATTTTGTTGTGTGTCACAAAACAGGGATGTTCAAAAAAAATACTTTAAACATAACAATAACTGCTTATCAAGATAAGAAATCTTTTCATCTTACTCAGACAAATTGTGGTAATAATAATTTGTAATTTAGTGTGATATGAATTTACAAAGTTATCTGAATAGTTCTTTATTTTTACAAAATTGGCAATTACTATTATTTACGTTTTTGGTGATATTCATTATTAGTTTTTTGATACATAAGAAGCACAATAATACCAGAACAACTAAACTAGATGGACAGGAATATATTGGAGGTTTGATAAGAATTATATTTTAAAATTATGAAAGAATTTTATTTTTTTCATTTTAAATTTTAGTGAATTTTACAAAAAATAATAGTGATACCGAGTATAGTGAATATGTACCAGCTTTGGAAGAAAAAGAACATGTTCCTTATAATGGTGCAGTAATAACTCTTCCGGGTAAAGCAGAACAATTCTATAAAATGATGAATAATAGACGTAGTGTACGCATTTTTAGTCAAACTAAAGTTCCGATTGAAGTTATTGAAGACTGTATTAGAGCAGCTGGTACATCACCCAGTGGTGCACACACGGAACCATGGACATTTTGCGTTGTTGGCTGCGCGAAATTAAAACAAAGCATACGTGAAATAATAGAAAAAGAAGAAGAATTAAACTATGAACAACGTATGCATCGTCAATGGATTACAGATCTAAAACCTTTGCGAACAAACCATATCAAGAAATATTTAACGGATGCGCCATATTTAATTCTTGTTTTTAAACAAATGTATAGTTTTCTTCCAGATGGGCGTAAAAAACAACACTATTATAACGAAATTTCTGTATCTATAGCCACTGGGATATTACTCTCTGCTCTTCAAGCAGCTGGCCTAAATTCTCTCGTAACTACACCTCTTAATTGTGGTCCAGCTTTACGTAACCTCTTAAAGAGACCATCATATGAGAAGCTGTTAGTGTTGTTACCGGTGGGGTATGCGGCAAAAGAATGTGTTGTTCCTGATTTGAAACGAAAACCTTTAAATAAAATAATGGTTACTTATTGAATTTATTTTGCAAATGTTGATGGATAAAATAAAAATAATAAAAAAATATATTTTATAATTATATATTATTAATATTTTATTGTATAGTATTTTACAATTTCTTTAGCTTTATTATGGCTTTATTATCATAATTGATATTGGTATAATATTAATTTGTAATTCTATAAGTTTCTTTCTTTAAAAGCCTGTTGATCAACTGGGGTTAGCACAATATACCATTTGAGTCGTGGTGTGTAATACTTCTCACTTTGTCGAATAAAATAATAACAATAGCCTATGTTTCATATGATATTATTTAAGAACGATAATCCAATTACCATAACTAATTTAGTGATTAAAATTGAAGAAACAATTTCCTAATGGTGTTCAAACAAAATCATATCAGTATAATTTACTTTAACTGTACGTAAGAAAAGTTAATTTGCACTTACCGAGCGTTTTGTGTGACCAAAGTCCTTTGGTCCTTTGTAAGTCCTTTTTAAAAACTAAATAGTTAATCAAGTAACCCATAACTCACTCGCTTTCATTTTTTTTATATATCTTTAGTTTTTAAAAGTAACTTAGATATAAATGCTAATATAATTTAAAATATATAAAAATTTAGTTTTTTAAGAAATGTGCCTTAGTAAAATGCAAAAAACGAAAAAATTACTAATAAATGATTAATTATTATAAGTCAAAGTATAGGGAAAATCCACTGATTTCAATTAATTTCTTTTTTTTGCCAAGAACATTTAAACAATTTTGTTTATATTTAATGTGTAGATATCTCTATCTATCTCTCTCTCTGTCTCTCTTTCTGTCAATTTTTTTTCAGTATTAATTTTGACGTTGGTTTAAATTTTATTTTTTTGGCATTGATATTTTAAACGCAGAGAAAGAAAGTCCACTTAGTACACTAATCCAGAAAAGGCACGATGACAGAATTTCGTATTGCAAAATCATTTATTTTAAAAGTAGCTAGTGTTATCATTCTACTAGACCTGTTAATTGTACTTCTACTAGGATATGATTTTCAGTCAAAAGCTGTAAATATTTTCTTAAGCTTTTACTTTTTTTTTTTTTCTAAACCTCATTGCTTAATTGATATAGTGCTTAAACCATTTGTTTTTCTAATATAAATTTATATTAACTCTCTTTTCAGTTTATACCTGAGAGGCTACAGAGAGCTGCTATAGTGATTGGAATTATATCGCTTCTGGTATTTGTTACAATAATTGTAATGGTGCATATTTTACCAATGTTGAATAAACGTATAGAAAAGCAATACCACGATGCAATTCATTTGTATGACGCCGACTTGATGTTGCTGCGTCTACGTTATTTGAGAAATAGAAGAAAATAATCACTATATGTTAACATATTTAATATAAAATATGTTTAAAATTGCGTACTAGTATCATAACTATGGAATATTTTACGAACAACAATTTCAGGTCAGCATCATTTCTATGAAATTTTATAAACAATAATTTAAGATGAATAGTATAGAATAAAATATTCTATACTAAATACTAATAGAATAGTATTTACCTATATCATCTATATTACTGAATCCTTTGTATATTTATGAAAATTTCATATTTTGTAGATGTATACTCAAAAATTCATATTCATTCATCATGTATGTGATATTTTTACATTACATTCAAACATGTATATTTACAACGATATTTACAATAAACAACATACGATTTAAACAAAATATACAAAATAGTGAATGGATAACTTATGAATATATGAAACACCTGGACATATTTTAAATTATGTACTTGATATAGAATACTTTTATAAACATGTATATTTATAATTTACAACGATATTTACAATAAACAACATACGATTTTAACGAAATATACATAATAGTGGACGGATAACTAATGAATATATGAAACAACGTCGGGATTTTGTACATATATCAAATAATGTACCATATAATGTACAATATTCATAATAAATTACATACGATTTTAACAGAATATACATAATAGTGGATGGATAACTTATGTCGGGATTCTGGACATACTTCAAATCATCACATACTTTATATAGAAAACTATTATTTTACACAATTGATTTAAACAATAATTTAATAAACAATAATTCCGCGATTTAGACTTCTTTTTTTATTTTTTTTCTTGCATTGTGTACCAGGCAATTGTCATTGTGGTGGGTTTTAATATGATAATAGTGTTATAAACAATTATTACAAGCATAATAATATAGTTATAAATTACTTTTTTATTATGATTTATTGTATTATTTACAACTGTGAACAAGTATAAATCACAGTTTTCTTATGATTACTATTTTTAAAAAAAATCTTAACTGTTTGAGATATTTGTACCAGCACAATATATTGTGATTTCCAAATAATATTTCCTTATTAAACTATTATTTCAAAAGAAGCCGCTATTCTGAGATGTCATGGCTACTCTGGACAAAATGTTGCCAGAAGAAATCAACATCTGTTATTGCAGTTTTATTCAATATGTTTACGAACCATTTATGCACATTTATTCTTTGTTATTTATTTATCATAATGTTCTTTTTCTCCTTTTGTTTACGAATAGATGTGCATCAAAAAGGTAGCAAAGAATTTTTATATTGCGATTACACAAACGAACAAGCGATAGAATTGAGCAGCTGTCAACTAAACAAGTTTTGTGCAAATTCGCTGAAGCCCTCAAGCTGGTTTGTGTTGAAAATTTTTCATTTGTACACCATGTGTAATAGGTACACTCCGTCCATATCATAATTTGTGTTGACAAAGGTAAAACTAACACCCAAAAGTATTAAAACCATTAATAAAAACAGCTTAAACGGATTGCATAAAAATTGTGTTCATAGATATGACGATTTACGATGTCATTATTGTCACGATTTATTGAAAAGCAAGACATTATTACTACCCTCGGCCTAGATCAGAATTGGACAGTCACAAAGAATGTAGTATATTCAAACAACACTACTCACAAAATTCAATAGAGGTACTAATTGATACCAACTCTAATAAATCATCCATACTAAATACATATTTAAGATTTTGTATAATAAATAAATAAATTATTAATTTAGAAAACTTTAATTATAATGAAAGTCATCATGTTAACAAATTTTGCCGGTTAAATACGTCAAAATAATAACATTTACCTTAAGGTATTATATATGAGCTGTGAATTATTATAGAAAATTAAAATATTTAATATTATTTTTAATAATTTTTAATTAATTGCAAAATATGTTTAATTTGAATTAAGAACATTGAGTTTAATTAACTTTGTCCGAAAATATCTATTTACCAATTTGTACTATTGTGTTCTATGAAAGTGTTCTTACTAAAAACCATTTTTGTGAAAGTTATACCAAAGTACATACAAATCAATTTGTACTACTGTATTCCATGAAAGTCTAATCTAATGTTGAGCCTTTTCCGAGTTAGTGCATCTGGGCACTTTTACTATTTGATAATTACTAATTAACTAATTATTAATTACTAATTAACTAATTTGTGTATTCCTAATAAACTTCGTGATTATTCAATGACGGATCTAAGATCTGTTTACTTTCCCGTACGGTTAGTAATTATTTCCAGATTAATAGTGCTAAGTAGCGCAGCCTGTCGGTTTTCTCATATAGCTCTGTTTAATTTAATACATTTTATGTTAAATTTATATAAAATATACTTTCTTACAAATTTATGACTTCTTATTGTAGATATTGAAAAATAAATAATAATTATTATATATAATTAATTTATTTTAGATAAAATAAATTTGAAGAAAAATATAATTCAAATTTTTGTTAAATATTATAACAACGTAACCCTACGGTATGTTGGTTTTCTTTAATTTCAACAAAACTATTACGCAAACTGGATTCACATGATAGATTTGTTTGTAATTTTAGTTGTCATTTGTTGTTGCTTTCAATACAAAATGAACATTTTTGGCAGCTTTAATTACAAAGAAAACTCTCGTGTAAATCCAATATTAGTTTCTGTTCTATTACTGGATTAATACGCTAGTTTTTTTGTTGTTGCTTTAAAAATAAAATTAAAATTATTGACGGTTAAAATTAAAAAAAAAAAATATCGTGTAAGTCCAATACAACTAAACTTATGAAAATGAACTATAATATAATAATTAAGACCAAAGAATAAAATTCATGTTTTATTTAGCATGCTAAATAAAAATCTCGAAGAGATGTAATATTTTCTATATTTTATGTATTGTGATAATATGTATTATTGACATTTATAATCATTTATAATAAGACATTTTATTTGTTTGTAGAAAATAATGTAATATATAGATAGTCAATTTGTTTGGAATACAATTATGCAAGCCATTTGGTTTTCAAAATCTCGTTTGGCGTTGATTGTATTCTTGGCATAAAAAAACCAAGACACAATGAAAAGAGCAAGTATTATTAAATATTTATTAAGTATAATAAACGGATGTGTTGTTTTATAAATTTTCTGGATTTTTGTGTAACAAATTATTTATAAGTTTGATCAATTTATAAAATTTTACTTAAAAATTTGTAGAATATATTAGTTTTAATATATATATAATAAAATAATATAATATATATAATATAATATATATTATAATATTTTAATTTTTTATTTTTATAAACAATTTAAATAAAAAATAATAAATAATCATGGGCAATTTTTGTTTATATTCATTTAAATACTTTATTTTGGTAGGGCATTGTTCAAGAAACCAAATGTTCACGTGTGTACACTCATAGTTCAATTTTTGAATAAATGCAAATTAAATTACACAACATGCTTCATTTCTCATTTTTCATATTCCACCATTTTATTTTCACGTCGCTTTATTAGTCAGTACGCTCCCATCGTTGAATGAAGTTGTTGTGTGTCGTTCGTTTATTCGTCGCGCATTCTTTTATATAAGTTAATTTATTGTGTGAGTTATTTTATGCACTGTTCTAAATGAGGATATGAGTGAGTTTTTTTTTTCTCCAAGTATAAGTGATAGAAAAGAAAGTCGATGATAACTAATAAACGTATGGGCACAAAAACGACTTAATAATAAGCATATGCAATTAAGAATAAAAATATTATGCTTAATTTTATTTAAAACAGTTATATTAAGTAAAAATACATGATTTATATATTGGTTTTCGGAATTTATCCAATATGAAAAATTTAAAACTGATCAAAAGAATATTTAAAACAGAAGAAAGCGTGAAGAATGTACGTCGTATTTGAGTTTATGAATTATTCTCGGGTCGTTTTGGTACGCCATTCGTTATCGTTAAAACCAAAGCGACAAAATATAAGATGACATATGTATGTAAATACCTTATAAATGTGGTGAAAAATGATGAGCGTGGTTAAATATTTTATTAAAGTATGAAAAAAAAATATTAATTAATTTTATAAAAATTAAAATATATATTAAAAAGTGTTTGCAATTCAGTTGTTTGAGTTAAAAGTGAATATTTGGCACAAATTATTATCATTCCATTCGAATCAATTGAATGAAGTGCATTTATTATCGTTTGCATACAATGTCTACTAAATGCTAAAATCGTGTTTTCATAAACTGGTAAGAATTTAAATTATTAACTTTCTATAATTGCTTAAAAGCACAAAATAAATACTTTCTAATATAAGTATATATTTAATTTTAATTTAAGTTAGAGTTGTTGTTTAATTACATTCGTTATCGTTTACTACAAAGATTATTTTAAGATTAAGACTGGTGAGCACCAGTCGTCGTGTATGTTTCCTAACATCTTGGGAATTGCCATATTTCTCCGAAGAAATAAATAAATAAAATGTGCAGTCTATGAAATTATTTATATTAATTTGCTTAAAAATATTATTCTCCAATAAAGTTAAAGGTACATTTCATAAGTACATTCATTAATAAGGATTTTAATAAATTTCTATATATATGAATTACTTATGAATTAAAATTTATATAGTTTTTTTGTATATAATAATTTTTTTAATTAATCTATTGTATGTAAAGTGAGATTTAAAATAAATATATTTAGTATAAAAATGAGAAATGCCAAAAAAGTGTCAAACTGAACATGATTTAAATATATGATTCATGCATTCTTATAAGAGTTGAATAAAAATAGGCGGACTTTTTTCTAAATAGATCTTTACACATTTTTTCTTCGAAATAATATTTTAACCACGGATGAAAAACATGAACAGTATTGAATATAGAATATCACATATGATGATGTTTAAGACAATTATAACTATAGTGGCCGTATAAACATACTATAAAATATTATTAATTTCATAAAATAAATATGTTTCATTAAAATCACCTTCAATCTCCAATCAATTTTGATTTCAAGTAAATTATTTATATATATATTGTATTTAATTTGTTAAAGGTAACTGATAGTCCTTTCCTTTTGTTTTATTCCGGAGTGGGTTATGGAAAAACCTTTACTCCGTTATGTGGGCGAGATTATAATAACTTCGCTGTAATTGTCTAATCCTAATTGAAGTTTCCTTCCTTTTGTTTTATGCTCGAGTTGGTTATGGAAAAATCTTTACTCCCTTATGTGACAAATGTCAATCCATACATTTATAAGTATAGCTACTTTCAGTTATTGTACTAACGCTAGTAATCCAAAAGCTTCATTTACATTTTATTGGGACGCTCTACATGCCCTAGATAGAAGCTGTGGGTCCCACCACGGTCTATAAATGAATAAATCTGATCATCATTGCGCCGGTATGCCATACATAAAGGCTGAACGCCGATACTGTTTCAACTGTTTGCTTGTTTTAATTAATGGCGCGGGGAGCTTTATCTGTGCTTTGCTGTAGCACTATTTTTGAGGGCGTGTTTTTAGTAGCAATCAAACAAGTTTGTGTCTCATACCACCACACACGTAAATATATTTAAACCTATAAATTACTACAAACAAATAACTTCCGTTATACTCTTATCAGAAGTTAGTCAATCCCTTTATTTAATTTCAAGTTTTTCATAAAGTCGCAGTGCTGCCTTAACTTGTCTTTCCAACTTGTTGCATGGCCTCTCGAGTTAAGTTAACTTGATAATAAACTCTATATGGCATATAGATTTTTGTGAAAATAAATCTAAGGAAAGAATATAATTTAAAATTTAATAATTTCGCTATTTAATTCATTATTTAAATATATCTGATAATAATGGCCCATTTAAAATAAGAGATATGTGTATCACTTCTGGAAGAGTGTGACTATTCTTCGCTACTTCTGCTATTTCGGCTTCCTCCGCTCTGTCGATTCTGCAGGATTTAGATCAGAGAAGCATTGTGCCATAGGAGATAGTAGTAGAAGATTGTAATCCAAAGATCTGCAATATGGGTATCCAAAAATATGTTAAGTATTCTGCAACAATCATCTTATATGTTTGAAAAACACTTAATTAGTTGAAAAGGCGCACACACTTGTAAATATTTAGTCTTTCCGAGTATATACACTCATCGACACCAGAATCTATTTGGTGTGATCCGTGCAGATGGCGGTACCGAAATTGTTGAACGAAGATATCGTTGTCCATTCTTTCTCATGAGTAAAACTGCAGTAAAATTCAAATGTCACTCTGAAGATAATGTATTGGGTTTTATTGAGAAGGTTTTGCGCTGATCTTGTTATTAGGTATCCATTTCATTAGGCTATTTTATCTTTATTGTACTTAGTAAAACTGCTGATATTATTTATATACTTATTTATATACTAATATTTATATACTTTAAGAAAGAATTGTACTTGAATATGTAGTATTTTTAATTTTCACATAATTTTAAAACCAAAATCATTGGCTAAATTATCATATTTTCTCTTTGTCTTTTCAGAATCATTACAACAAGAAGTGAAAACAAGTTAAATTTTATACTTTCAATAATTTAATTTAATCCCTTCATTAAAGATAAATACACCATCGTGAAAAGTTAATAATTAATGTAAACAATACAAGTGTTTTTCGAAGCATTCAAAAATTAAATTTCAAATAAATTTTTATTTCTCCAACTTGTTGAAATTGTTCTCTCATAATGAGTCGATATCATAACGGTAGTAAAGCCCCACTGGTTGTCGGCTCAAGTAGTTTATCCAAGAAAATAGTTGGAACGCATAAAATGGGGCATGGTAGCGATTATTACAACTATATTACTGAACCGGTCGCGAGTTTTAGTACAGTAAGTGGTTATAGTAAACGTCAAAGAGCAGGTTCACCCGATTCAGCAGCTTCTAAAAGTAAACGTCAAAAAATTATTGTCGCTTCAAGTATTGCAAATACAAAACATCAAACTGTAACAAATTATAAAAATCGATCTATAATAGAGAATCATTACAGCAACAATAATAACAATAACCACCATTCAAAACGTTATCCTAATAATTCAGCATCTTATGTGCGATTGGAACATATACAAACAAGCAATATATATAATAAAACACATCTGAAAGAATATGAACAGCAGCAACAGTTAATAGTTAATGGTAAAAGGGACAATGATATAGTCGAAGTACCTGACAGTGATAGTGATGTGGAAGTATCCGATAATTGTAATACGAGTAGTACAAGTAATGGTTATAAACAAACTTCCAACTTACCTGTTAGACGTTCGACTACGAGTAGCAGCAGCAGCTCGAGTAGTAATGACTCTGTTGTCCACAGTCAAAAACAACAAAAAAGTCCGAATGTTAAGGGAAAAGAAAGTAGTATTTCTCCAAAGAATGAAAACGGAGAATCAAATCAAGTGGACCCAGAACGTTTACTACGCGAGATTGAGGAAGTAACGCAAGTTTTCACAAAATGTAAGTACATAGTAAATATTACAATATCTTATATTAAATTATACAAACATTTCCGAATTATTTTAATTTAAGTTATAAAACTTAAAAATTAAAAGATAAAAATATAGTGCTCAGTAGCGCTTCAAACTGTGAATATTAATTATTTTTTGAGATCATGTGATCAATTCGGTTATAGGAAATATTTTTAATGTGAAATCAAATCTGAATTTCTTTAAAGAACCGAAATTTCGACATTATTCAAACATTTTGTCTATTTTGTAGTTTCTTTTTCAATTATGAAAATTTTATCACAGTGGTTAAGTGACTTAATTTTGAATTAACGATAAACGAATTCTCAGAGTTTTCCAAATAAACCCTTTTTAGGGATTCTGTGTTATAATTATAAAATAAATTTATCATAGCATTTGGTTTTCTCTCGGGATCTCAAACTGAAAGAAGAAATAAACAAGATTTTTTATCAACAACTAAGTTTTAAACAAAAGTAAATATTACTAACAAAATGTTGTACAAATTTTAACTGTAACGCCTTATTTTTGAATTAACGATAAGTGGAGTTTATATCGGAGTTTTTTTTAGATACGACTCCTTTTTTTCAAGATTCTATGTTGTTATTACAAACTAATTTTATCATAACTGTCTACTTTCTGGGACTTCAAATTAATGGAAGAAAATTATATAGGACTTTATCAATAAATTTAACAATAAATAAAGTGTTAAAGAAAAATTATTTTCTCTAGAAAAGATTTCATTATAAAATATAGATGTAAAAACAATACATATATATATGTAGCAACGATTTTTAAATATCATCTTAATAACACATTGAATATATCTTGTCAACCTGATTAGCTCTACATTTAAATAAATTTATATCAGTTGTCATGTTATTTATTATTCAAGTAAATCGAAACAAAATCAGTGCAACGGTATCGGTCCTGACAAGTTACGGCGTATTAGGAAAGCATGCAATAACACAGTCTAGAACTTCTAACGACTTTTGTATGAAAAGATAAGGAGGAAACTGTACTCCACCTCATATATCATTGGCTAGGAGAGAATATAATATATTTCTGATTTCTTTTGTAACTAAGCTGACTGAACTGTCATCCTTTAAAATTAGAGACAAAGCCAAGTTTTTAGAAATATCAGGTGGGTTTTAGACTTATGAAAAGTTTAACTTCTCTTCGCATATGATATATGCATTTGTTTATATTATATTATTTATGTTACTTTTGGAAAAGTTTCACTTTCACATTCTCTCTGTACTCAAATGTATAGTATATATCCGAATATTGATAAATTTTAGACTGAACGGCAATCGAACGGTTAAATAGAAATTTAATTAGACAGTAATTTTGTAGGGCGTTGCATATCTATATAAAAGTTGTCTGTTACTTTTCGAATCTTTTAGACATATTTTATAACTGCTCTTTTTTAGCATTTCTGATCATAAAAATATATATACATATATATTTTTTTTTATTATTTATCTGTTTTTCATGTCGAGTTAGGTTACACTTATAAGCTTGATAATACTTATTTTGACTTAACCTACCTTCCAATTAAATAATATATTGAATGCGAGTATTTTTAGTCTGACCCTTCTTGTTTAATAAATAGTGATACCTAAAAATACTAAAAATACTTTTCAATAATAACTAATAATTGATATTAGACAGCATATTCGAAATAGTTTCTCTGTTAGCCCCAAGGATTTACCTATTCAAATAAATAATTGTTCTCAATATTAAATTGACTTTTATATTGAATTAATAATAACTACATAAATGGAAGTCTAATTTCTATAATCAGATTTTAGTTACTGATGAGAACTCAATTGTCTTAATTTTAATTATAATAAATGAGTTGAAATATAAATAATATAATATATAAATAAATGAGTATTCACAGAAGTAATGATTTGCTAAACTGATTAAAAAGTTACATAAAAAACAGATTATTATTTATCAATTGCATGAACGTTTTAATATGTAAGATGCTGTTATCTTCAATTTTTTAGAGTCTTAGCAATATTTTTTAATTTCCTTATTTTTATAACAATTCATTCTTATATCAACTTTTTCATGCTACTTATCAGCACTTTTTCTACTCGCACTTATTTTTCTCTGAAGTTCTTATAAGCAAATGGAGAGTAGAAAAATTTAAAATAATAATGTGTTTCTGTTCTTTTATATAAACGCTTATCTGAACGTTTTAATAAATACAGATTTTTGTTTAGACTTACTTTATATGTGTATTTAATCATATAGTTCATTCCTAGTTTTTAAAATTGCCAATGTTTCGAGGGTTTTTGACTTTTTTATAAAGACAAGATGTCAAATAAGCTTTTATTTTAACCAATGTTTTTTAAAGCGGGCGATAACGTCCCTTTTGGGTACTGGAATCCGTAAAGGGGTCGATAGGGGATCAAAAAAAATTTGTTGAAGTGATGTTGAAGCGGTTTATTTGTGATCAGAATTTGAGAACCTCTGATATAAACGAACACATTATTAAAAGATGGTGATTTTAAAACAATCAAATATATATTGATAAAATATTGATAAAAGTTTTATTTTTAGTCAAAAACATATACATAGTTTATGTCCTCTTAGACATCAATGCTATATAAATGAATTATATTTAGTAAAATGGTACTTCCCCATTTTGATATTGATTTCAATAACGAAAGCGAGTCTCATTGAGTTTTCTCTTTCACTGCAAGTCGGAGTAAAAACATATATATAGTTTATATCGTCTTAGACATCGATGCTATATAAATGAATTATATTTAGTGAAATGGTACTTCCCCATTTTGATGTTGATTTCAATAACGAAATCGACTCTCATTGAGTTTTCTCTTTCACTGGAAGTAGAAGTGTGATTGCTTTCATTTTTTTACCTTCTTTGTTGTATTTTTAAATATATTTCTAAAAAAGTGGTAAAAATTCTTTTGTTATAATTATTTTATTAAAAATATATAAAAGAAAATTATAAAAATTCGGAATAATTTATATACATATATATGAATTGTCTTTAAATTTGTGTGCTTTGCTTAGTAGTTTAATTTATTCCAAAAAATTTTTTTTAATGGCCTCCAGTCATAAAGAGAAAGTTCCTACAAATACCGATATGTTGTTTTTTGTAAATATATTAATTCTCTTAATTATTTATATATAGTTTGGAAAACTCTCTGAAAGCAAAAATTATTCCATTTTAAATAATTTAAGTGTGTTTTTATTTAAAATTTTTATTTGCTTAACCATGCTGCCTAGCACTACGAGTACGAGTACGAGTACGACTATACGTTATTGATTAAAAACGAACAGATAATAAAATAAAAACGTATTAGTGACGTATACTTAATCACAATTTTGTTTTTTCTATATATTTCATATGTCTCTATTAACTCGCAAAAATGGCTTTGTAATTGAAAGAATTTCAATAATATTTGTACTTGTAGCGGAGACAGCTTTTAATAAAAATCTATTTACTCATGTATTTGTTTTGTTTTCGCTGATGTCAAAAGCTCCACACAAAACATGTCGGTTAAATGTATTGACTTTGAATATCTCTATAGTATATATGAATATATATATATATATATATGTTCCAGTATGAGTAGATACAATATTCCATTGACTGATCAAAACATTTAAACCGGATTGCAGTAAATACATAAAATAATATTTTAAATACATTAACGTGGGGTTTTTTCATTTTTATGAGATACATTTCTTAAAACTGCTCTTTTCTATTTAGACTGACATAGCAAACTCACATTTTTCCTGCTCACAAAAAGCTAAAGACGTTATGAGGTTTTTATTAAATAGTAGCAAAATAAAATCATTATTTTCCCCGATTACAGAAATCCCCTGTTTGGATCATAGCTTTATCACAACTTCGCATTTATTATTTATTGTATTATTTGTTAAAATTTGCACTTAAAAAAGCTATACGGCAGTTATATATAAAATAAAACTGCACAATAAAATATTTATAATGGGTATTTACTGCATTTCACACTTATATACTCGGTGTATTTTTTTTTTTTTTTTAATATTGAGTTTTTCTCAATAATAAAATAATAAATTTTTTTTTTATAATTATTCAATTAAAGTTTATATATATTTTTGTGCATAAAATATTAGTGTACATATCTATATTTGTGTATCTACGAATATGTCGCTACTTTAGGTATTTGTGTTGTTCAAAGTAGAGCACATGCATATAACCTTGACATATATACTTAGTTATACGTTTGTTGTTGTTGTTATTGTTATTCTTTCTGTTTTTTTGGGTGGCGGTGGGTGAACTTTTTATGTTGCGTTGTTCAGATACGAAACACAATATTCGTAAGCATAAATTCTGTAGAGCAGTTCAGTGTATATACCGCATACGGCTAAAGTAATTGATTCTTTTTAACCAATCTAGGGGTTAGTCAATATTAAATGTGGCGAATGCTTGTGATCTCTGATCCAGCGGACAGCAAGAAGGAATTCAAATCAAATTCAAATAAAATTTTATCAAATAATATAAGTTTCGTGATTTTTAACTGGGAAGTTAACTTTCAAATTTTTCTATTCGTAAAATATGGCAGTTCAATTTTATTGAGAAATAAATTAACTTTGATTGAAAATAATTTTTGGTTTTTTAGTTCACTAAAAATTAATTAATGGTGTATGAAGTGTCATAATTCTAATTGGCATATTATGGTACCCATATCTATTAAATAAATAGATTAATTAAAAAATTATATTTAATATTTGTATATCTTATTTTATTTATATATATCATTTCGACTCCTGATAGATGTCTCTTAACACTTATATATATTCTAAAAATAAAGGTATATATTTACACATATCAGAACATATTCTTCATTGATTTTTACTGGCACTGTTTCAGTCGGATGCTACATCCCAATAGTTTTCTCATATTGTCAATACATGTCTAATGTTTGGTATTTAGCATTATGACCTCACTGTCTTCCAACGCTAAGA